ATGTATATAGTTAACAATTTTGATGTAAAAGTTTTTTTTTTTTTTTGCAATCAAAATGATCATTTGTATAAAATACGTTTAGGCTCTACAATCAAGTATACAATGAGCAATGGGCTAGAATATCAAGGGAAAATACCACGATCTCTACAATCAAGGATACAATGAGCAATGGGATAGAATATCAAGGAAAAATACCACGATTGTATCCTTAGAGAGACAAAAAAATAGATTTAGCAACCAAATCCCTCTAAAGATGAGAGATTATGGAAATTATAGCTATACCCCTAAAGAAATAGACGAGAAAACACTATAGGAAAAACACATGGTCATATTTCTAGAAAGAAGCCAAGGGAAAGACATCCTAAAAAAACTTCACATGGGTTCTACAAATGCTCACAATAGAAAGACTTGTTATGTAGGTGCACAACGTAAGTATATCTTTCATCAAACTCTATAATCATTTGGCAATCATTACCATTATCTTGAACTACGTATCATAAATATGTTGGTTGGTTCAACCGACAACCTATCCCATTCAAATTGAGTACATTTATTACTAAACTTTTTTTAGTATTGCCTGTTGTTGTGGTGTTGTGAGATTGATCTTTGAAAGAGTTTTCATTCATCCATGTAAATTAAAGTCATTACTAAGACCAAAAGAATGACAATAACAATAAAACTGCACTTTTAATTTGGCTAAATATAAAAGTGGAAAATGACAAACTTCTAGTTGTCCATCAACTTAATGTTGATTATATTGTATAGTTTGGATTTTTGTCAAATCATGTTTTTCCTGTATCAGTGTGCTAGGATTACGCAACTAGGATCACACATATAGAGGATTTCCTAGTTTTAATTTATTATAACAAGTAAAATAGATAAAAAGCTTTTGCTTAATGTATTGTTATGATAAACAAGGTTAACCGGTTAAAAATATCATGAAATTTCGATCAACAAGAAATTAGTTCTTAGAATATTTTTATTCTGATTTAGATTTTATTTTTATTTTTATTTTTTACAAATATCACTCTTTTATTAATTTTGACCGTGAATAAGTCTATAAAAACACGATACTTGTTATCACGAGAGAGGAAAAATAATTGTAATTAAAATGACAAAACTAACATTTTCTCTGTTTTCTTTCCTTTTTTCATAAAAAATGAGAATGGAGACATTAAAAATAAGGAAAAAAGAAGAAGAAGAAGATAAAAGTGTGGCTTAATAAATTGAATAAGTTTACTATAGAGCAAATAACAAAAAAGAAAAAGAAAAAAAAAGCAACTAGAACCAGCCCATAAATTCTTCCTTTTTATGGATACTTTCCTTTGCTAAATAATTTGAAACCGTGTTTCCGTCTTCATTGATTCTATTATATTTAATATACTTCAACTAAATACAAAGTTATCAAAACACAAAAGATGATTATGTAGTTGTCAGGGCCTCTTCTTAGCATTCCAATGAACCCATGACGCCAAACCCTTTGCGGTCCATTTGAAGTTGTTACCCCGTATAACTAGTTTTTGGCCAAACAAATTATGTACATGTACAGTTCAAATCTGTTGCTCTTATACAAGATTATTGCAAAACAAGGTACGATTGGCACTGAAGCATTAAACGACAATAAGTGAAGTATTAAAAGACAAAGATTAAGAAACACGTGCGGATTAAAAAAAGCAAGAAAAAGTCACGCATGAAAGAAAGCATGTAAAATGTAGTCACTAATAGGAAAAACAAAAAAAAAAAACAATTATAATCAGTTAAGAAAACAATTAGTAGTTAGTTAGTTGTGCTAAATTGGCAAAATTTCGTATGCAGAGAAGAAGAATAGAAGAAAGGAACATTCTGGACTTTTTTGCAAACTCTTCTTTATGTTCTCTGAAACTATTTTCAACAAAGTTTAGATCTATTTTCTAAGATTTTACCATTGATTTTTTAGCTCATTTGATTCTTTCTCAATTTTTAGAATATGAGATTGATAACAATTGATAGCTAGCAGAGTAAATTTTAGCACCCGTTGAAGCTAAGATTGAGCAATAATAGTGGAAAGGAATGGCTATTTAAAGAAGATGGAAGAGTCCATTGAAAGCCTTATCAAGGTAATCTTTGCTCACACTAAAAAAACAAGATGATATGGTTTTTTAGTTTTGGGAATAGTAGGAATTAAAGAATTATTGAGGAGTTTGTGTGTTCATAAAAATAAAGAAATTAATGATAATCATTTTAATGAATTTTATGCTCAGGATCAGAATGTTAATATAGGATTTAATGATTAGAATTATGATGGTACAAATGTGAATCTTAAGGAGGGTTCAAGAAACTTTGATATTGATAAAACATCAAGATAATTTAGAGTTAATTTAGCCTCAATTCACTTGGAAGGGGAAACTTCAGAGCTTCATCAATTAAGTCTTTGTACATGTTAGGTTTGATTGGAAGGGATATGCGGATGTTCTAAATATAAGATTTAAGGCAATGGTTTACAGTGACCATATGGTTGGCTTGATGAATCTCTCAAGTAGAGTAAAGATGTGTAGAATAATCTTAAAAAGTTTATGTCATTAGTGTTTCCAAAAATTATGAATTGTCACAATCGATATCTTATTTTAGCATATATTATTGCATAGTTGAAAGTCAATCCCTATACTCGCTCAAAGTTTGGGTGGCATACTAAGCAGTTAAGATGAAATGATAAGCTTGCAGTCGCTCAAAGTTTACCTGTTTTAACAGGAAAGAATGGTGGTAGATCGTTTAATCACGTTTATTTTATTACATTCGCACGTTCTTATTCTACTAATTCTATAGAACAAGCATTTATGTATTTTGTTATGAAGCTTAAAGGATTATCAAATAATATTGTTTTAGATAGAGATTTAGTTTTTTTAGCAATTTTGGAAAGAAAGGTTTTCTTTGACTGAGTTTTGGTATAACAGTACTAACCGTTCCACTATCATTCTTCATTGCATTTATCATACTTGCCAGGAGACTCGAGAGTTGAAGCTGCTAATCAGTTACTGTAAAAGAAGAAAGAGTTTTTGAATCTGTTTACATTTCATTAATAGCAAGCTCAGCACAGGATGAAACATCAAGTTAATAAACATCATTTTGACAAGAATTTTCAAATTAGAGATTGAGTTTGTTTAAAGATACAAACTTATCTTCAAGGGACGATTGTTCTTCGTTATCAGAAGCTTTTTTCATAATTTTATGGTCCTGTTAAAATTATTGACATGGGTTGGAGAAGCTGCGCATACTTTGGAGCTTCATGTACATGGGTTCTTAAGTATAAACCTAATTTTCATGTTTTCTAACTTAAAGCGGCTCATACTGTTACTGCTATTCATATTCCAATAACCCTACTTTTTATAATTCTCAACTTAAAGCAGCTTATGGTGTTACTGCTACTCATATTCCACTACCTTGTCCTCCTGGTATTCTACCACATCTTTTAACCATTTTAGACATGAAAATGGTTAAAAGGGGAAACGTAGATGCAACCAGGCTTTTTATTCATTAGTCTCATAGCTCACCAGCTGACGCAACTTGAGAGTTTACCTTTGACATGCAACATGAATATCAGACTTCGATCATGAAGGCAAGAATCCTCGATTTCAATTTTAATTATGATGTGGATTATTTAGGTGGTACGGTTGAAGTGGATGATCTCGTCCGATCATACTTCATCATTCAGCAGGGTTTTAATGCCCTTTAGATAAAATTTAAAAAAAAAAAAAAACAACCATTAATTAATTATTATGAAGACACGGGAGAAAAAGACGGTTTTTAACTATAGATGATTGCCAACAACTCCTCGAAATTTTCTTTTAACCACCCCCACTCCTCCCCCTCCTCTCCATACCTATAAAATATTCCAAAATTCCTTTTCATGCTATAATCACCAAAACATATAACTTTCACACAACACCAGTAACCTATTTGGGTATGAAAAAATTGATTTTGAAGCTTTATGGATATAACAGAGCAGTCACAGCATTGCAGCCAGGCTCATAAAAGTATAGGAATTCTTTTTAGGTTTTTCAAACTAAACGGGTTGACAGGCCAACATCCTATGATTTCTTTGATGCTGGATTTGTGCCTCAACAGTGCCGTTGGATTCTTCATTCTTCAATATTTAGCTGTTGCGACTCTGCAGTCCTCACAATGCATGGAATCGGAGGATAACTTCAACCATGGAGAATGTCTCGCCCAGAAAATTCTTGTATCAACATTAACACCGTATCAGTAATGCATTGTCATCATTGCTTGCTGCTTCTTGGCTAATGAACTCCTAGCCGTTGCTTGGGTACGGCTATGAAGAGCATATGCTACTACCCAAAAGGTGGTAAATGAAAACACACAAAATTTGCTTACTCTCTCTCATGTAATGACTAGCTGTCGATTAACTTATGAATGGTTTCTACTTTCTACCAAGCATTGCTGTTCGTGCTACTATTACCTTCCTTTCCAGTCCGCCAAGCCATAGTGAATAGTGATGAATGCTAGTAAATCAATCCATAAATCAAATATAAAGGGACATGGCTTCATTACACTAGTCTCTCAGTATACCCCCCACAAAATTAACATCTCTGAGCAAGAAAAGGTGAGCAAAAATTATACCACGTGTGAATCAACCAAAGGGGGCTTAAGCTAAATCTTATAGAATGGTACATCATAGAACGGAAGTGAAACATAAGTATTCCGTTTAAACAGATGAAAAGCAAACAAGTTACAATGGGAGACTATCATAAAATTTGCAGAAAAACGGCAGCAGACAGTATTATAGGGGAAAAGTAAACGAAAAGAGAATAAAAGGTACTCCAAGAACTACATCTCATCATATCTTGGAATGATAGGTTCTTTCATCATTGTTCCTCTTCTGCTAATTTAACAAATGCAAGTGCTATATTGCATCATGTTTTTGAGAGATACAAAGATACTCCAACGTACCAATTGCTGCAGGCTTCCCATACTGGGAGCAAATCTCCTCTGAACTGCTATGAGCATTAGTCTTTGACTGATGTCCGCAATATCTTCACATCATGGATAGGCCTGCATTAGAAAAGAGTATCATGCATGGCTTGTCAAAAATCAAGTGGAATTCTAAAGTGGGCAGACCACCTACTGTCCCCAACAAAGGAAGGGTGAGTTATGAGGAAAATAGTAAAAAGAACAATGATAACATCAAAGAAATTTTACCGATCATTATTGTCTGTTTGGACACTACCGAGCCTCTTGATTATTTCCATTCCCCTACATACTCTTCCAAAAATGGTGTGTTTTCCTGGGCAATACAGCAGATGAGGCATTAACACAACTGTAGGAACTATGGAACTGAATATATAGGAAATGAACAACGGAAAAGATACCAATATGATAGCTTCCATATGAAAATTGTAAATCAACAATTGATTTCGGGCAACCCAGTCAACAAGAGAAAAATAAATTAATGTTGCCAAACATGACATGATATCTCAAAGGGCCCATTTATAGCTAGCTTGATGTTTGGAAGAAGTTCATTCAGCCTTCTTAGTGACAATAATACGAGCTTCAGAACACTTTCAAGACAATGAGAAATTCTAGAAGACCATTATTTAGTTTCTGGGATCTATTCTGTATGACACAAGCTTAGAAACTGTTAGCCCTCTGCATTGTAGACCTAGTGCCAAGTTTAAAACCAATCAAGGATCAAAGATATGTCCAAATTAGGTCACTTGCTCTGAACCCCAAATATTATTTGCATTTCCTGATCAACATCCTGGAATTTTGACCATGTTAAGAAAGAGAAATGGTGTTGATTTTCACTAAAATCCAGCCTCCTGACTGCTGGAACTGGCATCCAATTTTCAAAACTACACACATCATATGATCACAAGCAAATCTAACAAATTCCTCATGAGTCAACAATTTTCAAAAAAATCACACACCCACACACACATACAATCAAACAAAGAAAAACATTAAACAAGCAAGACAATTAATTACCATCTAGGGATGGCGTCGGTGACAAAGTAATGAAAAATTGGCTTCCGTTCGTATTTGGACCAGCATTGGCCATAGACAAAATCCCAGCTCCAGTATGCTTTAACTCGGGGTTTATCTCATCCTCGAACTTGTCACTAAAATTCACAACATCATAATCCATAAAAAAAAAAAAAAAAAAAACCTAGACCAATCAAGTAGCAGAAAAGTAAACCAAACTTACCCATAAATAGATTTTCCACCTCTTCCAGTTCCAGTTGGATCCCCTCCTTGCACTATAAAATCCTACTCCAAAAACCCACCAAAAATTATCATTAACGACAAAAAAAAAAAAAAAAACCATTGAAGACACAAAGGCCTCTTAATCCCAACACAAATAAATAAAACATGGGTCGGTTTTTATTTTTATAATACCTTAATAATCCGGTGAAATTTAACGTTGTCGTAATAACCTCGACGAGATAGTTCAAGAAAGTTCCTGCAAGTTCTTGGTGCGTGCTTGTAGTATAACTGTCAATCCCCACAAAAATAAAATAAAATAATAATAATAATAAATAAATAAAACAACACAGATAATAAGAAAATAAAAAAGAAAAAGAGAAGTACCTCAATGCTGAAAGAACCCATTGAGGTCTCTAGAGTGACCTCTGGAGCTCCAGCTTCTGCACTTGCCATCACAAAATTGAAAATTCTCAAATGCAGACAGACAGAGACAGGCGTTTTTAAGTCCTTACTACTCCGTTGTTCAGCTTTTAAACGGGGCATGATGGTTCTGCTGCGGGTTCGGTTCGTGCCATATAAATTAATTAATGGGCTAAGCTATGAAAGGCCCAGCACTAAGATTTGTTTTAGTCTTTTACATGCTAGTTAAAGAGAATTAGGGATTTTCGGCCCAAGGAAGGATGGCCTCTCAATTTTTTCTTTTCATATCCTTCGATTGGTTTTTCGGCCCGTTTAGTATCGTTTCCCATTTCTCAAAAATAAAAGATTTATGTTTATTTTTTATTGTTTTGCGAAAATTGTTAATTTTTTTCAACGCAGATGCATAACGAAGTTCTTTTTATACATATTTAATTTAATAATATAGTAATATCGTATTAATAAAAAATATAAAAAATGATAATAATATGTCATTTAATTACTATATTTACATGGTAACATGTATACAATGAGGTGATAATTAACATGACGTTGGAAGTGATTACAAAATCAAAATTTTTTATTATAATTTTATTTATCAAAAATAATGGTTGTCACGGGTGATGAAAATATGATATGAGTGATTGTAATAATATTATAGCTGTAAAAATAATCTTAATATGTTTATGAAGATTGTGAAAATAATGATAACAATATTGCGCTAGAGTTAATGATAATGATAATAATGTTAAAATAAAATATGATAGTAAAGAACTAAAACAAAAATAGTAGTTATAGTGATTATGATGTTGGCTTGTGATAGTGTTATAATAACGAGAATGATTGCGATGATAGTAGTAGATGTAATACCGAGGGTATGATCATAGTAATAATGAAGATATAGTAATATAACCTTGATAATACTCTAAATTATGCATTATTTTTCCTTTTTATTTTTATTTGCCTTAATATACCTCTTTTGTTTTCAAGATCATTATGAACTTTATTCATACATTAACATTCAAAAAAAACAAAACATAAATCTATATATATATAAAAAAAAATTGTAATTAAAAACAAAAGAAAAAATCTTATACAAATTCTCTCTCTTTAAAATTTCACAACCAAAATCAGGTATATCTTTCTCTCTTTTTCTTAAAAATCATCAAATGCACCAATAAAAAAAAATCACTACTACCATTAAAAATAAACCCACAACCACATCAATCACCAATAACAAACACACAACGTCGCTGCCAACAAGCATTGTCATGGCAATATTAATTAGGAGACAAAGAAATCATAGAGAAACACAAGTAGACAGAGAATGCAAGAATTGAAGGATTCATTGCCGGTTAGGATGCCGGGACAGAGTTCGCAGTGGAGAACTCACTAAAACCAGACCATAGCCAATATCCCTTGCCACTGGCTAGATCTTAGTTTTTTATGTTCTGATAATGTCAATGCTAATAATAAATGTGGTTTTTGAAGTGTTGTGATTTATTTGATAAAAATTGATATATTTATAATGCAATTATCTCAAAAATTATAAATAAAAATGTGTCAGCAGATGCAAAAAGTTATTGGATGGTGGAAGGACTACTTGGCTTTTGGTCAAATAAAGACCCAACGAAGACCTTTTGAAAGTGAAAAAGAAGACATTAAGACAAACGAAAATAGAACAAGAAAACTAATACAAAATCAAGAGTTACAAATTAAAAAAAAATAAAACAAAAACAAAAATCACTTTTTGTTGTTTTCAAAATTACATATTTTAACTTTTAAAATTGTCACAGAAAAAAATAAACATAATGATGCAACCAAATATATTCTCTATTTTTCTTAGAAAAAAAAACATTTAGTAGAAAAAAAAGTTATAAGGATGTCTAATTAAAAATAACTTTAAATCAATTGCTAAAAAAAAAAAAATTCAAAATTGAATTTTCTGGTTGATACTTACTACTACAACTTTTCTTTTCTTTTTAAAGATTTTTAGCTTTGTTTTGTTTTTCAAACATGCTACTCATTTAAGTTATTTTTATCAATTTTTTTTTCTTTTTATAGTGTAGATAATGGCACATAATGACATATCATGACTATATTATTAAAAACTTGTGGTAAGAAAATTTTTCACTCTAATGCTTTAGAATAAATTATTTGTGCGTTCTGTATTATTTTTGTATATACAGCCTATATTACAGTGGAGATAGCTTTTATCATAGTAATCAATTTCTAGTTAAATAGTTTTATAATAATTACGTAAACCATAATACTATAGGAATCTTTACCACGTGGTATAAAGGGAGAGGTCACAAGCGTCTATATCATAAAATTAATTTTTAACATAATAACAAATACATATATGATAAAATTGTTTTATCGAATACAATCTTAATAAAAATACATATATTTATCTCATTATTTTTTAAAATAACTCTTGATATACCTTAAAATGAAAGTTACTTTTTTATAAATCATGTCAACAGTAGGTAGATCAATGGTCAATCCAGTCTTAAGCAAACATCCACATCCAAAATGATTTATTCATCGTAAATTATTTTTGTCACGGTCTTTTTTTAAAACTCAAACTTCGAATGATAATGCAGATAACTCACAAAAAAAAAAAAAAAAAGTAGCAAAACTCCATTGCAACAAACAAAATAATATAGGATCCCAGTCAACAATTTCTGAACTCAAGGGACTAAAGTATACTTAATTAACTAAAATTTCCAACAAATCGTGATTGTTGCCTTTTTCGAAATTGGCAGCAAAGAAGCAAGAAGAAGGTGGTGGAATTTGTTGACGAGGAGAGCAATAATCAGGCTACCATCAAACCCACTAAGCTCAAGTGGGTTTTCAGGTAAGCCTGAAATGTTCGAAACTGGGTTCCACAGCGTCATAAAACGGGCAGTTGTAATCGGAAATGGATTCGCAGGCGCAGAGAATCAATGCATCGGCCTTCTTCGCGCTCTTGGCCTCTCCTCTCGCTATTCTTTATACGTAAAATTCCAATCAGTCACTCTTTTTATCCTGTCTTATACCATTCATTCTAGCAATTCATTTGAAAGTTACAATTTGTGCAGCGGGTTATAAGGCCAAGAGGGGCAATTAATGAGTGGTTGCATTGGCTGCCAGTTTCTGTGCACAATAAAGTGGACAATGTTATAGGGAAAATCTATGGTGATTCGAGGTTCATTCAAGCAAAGAAAGTGATGCCTGTTTTGGGTGAAAATTGTGGGAATAATGCAGGGTTGTTAGATGTATTTGAAGCTGATGCAAATCAGATAGCCAAAATGGCCCGTGATACATTTGATAGGTATGTATATAAAATTCTTGGCATTCTTCATTTATTTTTTATTGTAAGTCGGAATGCACTTAAAATCCAGTCATTTTCATAATTTTTAAGCAAATCCATGAAAGGAATGGATTCTGTTTGTTCATGATCATTTAAGTAATATGTTTATAATTAATTGCTAAGCGACTTTGGTGTTTTAGTGATTATAGGTTATAGAAAGGGTAGTTCATCATTTAATGATTACTTGTTGTTTTCTTTTTATTCAGGGATGGTCCATTATTGGTGGTTGCGTCCGGCAGGGACACTATTTCTGTTGCTAGCTCTATAAGACAGTTAGCTCCAGAGAATGTTTTTGTGGTTCAGGTTGAACTTAGTTTATTCATCACGGGTCTTTTTATTTGCATGTGGTGAAGTTGAAATAAAGTGCAGGCTGTTTGGTTTTAGAGGAATTGATTTCATGGATGTTGCATTCATCACGATGTTAATATCTCCTGTCTAGTTTCTCCTTTTTCCACTTTACTCTTCTTCTATTTGGTTAAACTACAATAAGGATTCTCTTTGCTATTTGTTTGCTATGATGTTTTGTTAAATGAGTTTTTTGTTGAATACAATTTTACAGATACAACATCCAAGATTGAATCTGAATAGGTTCGATTTGGTGATTACCCCTCGTCATGATTATTATCCATTGACTCCTGAAGCTCAGGAGCAAATACCCTGGTTTCTTCGCAGTTGGATAACTCCACGTGAGCCTCCAGACAGCAATGTGGTATGTGTTCTGGTTGCAAAAATGGGTTCGGGACATGAAAATTAAATCAGATGGCTTTTCGATTTTTTTATTTATCTTTGTACTTAATTTGTTAAACCTGCTGTATGAAACTTATGGATTTGGAATTTTGGATCCCTCAGGTTCTCACTGTCGGAGCTCTTCACCAGGCTGATTCGGCTGCACTGAGGATTGCTGCTTCTTTCTGGCATGAAGAATTGGCACCACTTCCGAAGCCCTTGCTTGTTGTCAACATTGGAGGGCCTACAAGTAAAATGCCGTGCATGTGTATATTATTGGCACGCTCTCATTTTTGGAAATTTCTTTTAGACTTCATTTTTTGTCAAGTTTCTCCTGCTAAATTTTCTTTAATGTATGTTAATATATCCAGGATGTACATGACATTGATCAAGAGATTGATTTTCTTCCTTATATGTGGAATACTTCTTTGTACCTTGAGAAGTATCTGTAGATGCATTATTTTGAGAATATTCTTGATTTGGCATTCCTGACCACCTCTTGTTAGATAAAGAAGTGTTATTTCGAAATTTCTTTTTATGTCTGGTGTGGAATTCAGTTGTTCTTTATTTTGTGGAACCAATAAAAACATATAAAAAGGGAGGAAAACATTGTTCAGTTGCAACAATGTCCCGCAAAATGACATTGTTGTGGTCAAAACTGCAGTCTTTTGTCGCCCTTCTGACTCAAAACAACATTGTTTTGAGCATGCTAGAAGAAGGATTTTGTGATGAGACTATTTATTTTTTCTACTTTCTATGTGAATCCTGCTGTTTTACTATTTATACTTGCTGTAAACCACTGATTAAATGTTTCTTCAGTCTATTAAGTACATTAAAATAATTGGATCAAGTGGAGCTAGGGATGATTCTTTGTTCAGCTCCACTCCCAGCTCGCTATTACACATGCAAACCCAGGGGAGTAACCTACTTTGTATCATTACATCTGATGTAACTCACAGTAGTTAGATTTTAGGTGGGGCTTGTATGGACAGAAGGGCAATATACTTATCCTGCAGTCAGAAAGGGGAGTTTGGTTCTGTAGAAAGAGAGTTTTGCGAGCACATGAACATTATGTGGCACTTAAAACTAACATTTTGATATCTGGAATTTTATATGCTGATATTTAATGCCTGAAAGAGTCACTTATTTGTTTGAGTGAACTGTTTTTTCTTCACCATGTACTGTCTAATTCTAGTTTTAACCTGATTATATAAAATTTCTTTATCTCACTTTCTTGTTTCATTAACAGGAAACTGTCAGTATGGTGAAGATCTTGCAAAGCAATTGACAGAAATGTTGCGAAATGTTCTTTGGAGTTGTGGTAGCCTTAGAATATCTTTTTCTAGAAGAACCCCTGAAAAGGTTTAAAATGCTTTAAGCAATTTCTTTTGCTGATTCTTTTGATTAGTGTTGCTGAGTTGCTATTTCTGGGCACGTATTGGCAGGTGTCGAAGGTTCTATTAAAAGAATTTAGTACGAACCCTAAGGTTTACATTTGGGATGGTAGAGGTAAGCAGTGGCCATAACCTGAGAGGATATCTTCAGTCTTCTCCCAGTTGGTGCAGTTTTTATTGTAGGCAATAATTATTCATCATCCAATGATAACTACTTAGGTCCAAATCCACATATGGGGCATCTAGCTTGGGCTGATGCTTTTGTTATCACGGCTGATTCAGTAAGCATGTTGAGTGAGGCTTGCAGCACTGGGTATGTTTGTTGGATGAATCTCTTGGCTTTCTAATTGTACTGTTTTATGTAGTTTGCGTGTTCCAATAAATTTTATTTATGCCACAGGAAACCTGTCTATGTCATAGGAGCTGAACGGTGTATGTGGAAGTTTGCAGACTTCCAGAAGAGTTTACATGCAAGGGGAGTGGTTAGACCATTCACTGGCAAAGAAGATGTAAGTAGCCAGCTGTCTCGTAATGACCATGTTCTCTGCTGCTGCTTTATTTGGTGAAAAAAATGCAAACATGTTACTCCTAAAAAAACGGTGTTTTTGCTTTGAATTTTGTTCACTTGTCATCCATGCTTCCTTACATTTTTGCTCACAGAACTAAATTGCATATATGCACAAATGATAATGAATGCAAAGTGTTGGATCATAAGGTGGTTTATCATTTTTGCTAGTGGAGAGATCCACCAGGGCTGCTGCACAAACAACCATAATCACACCACACTAGTGTTAAACGAAGCTGACATTAATTTTACCAATTTATGGTTTTACAGATATCTGAGACCTGGAGCTATCCTCCACTGAATGACTCTGCAGACGCTGCGAGTCGGGTGATGGAGGCAGTTGCCAAGCGTGGATGGATTACACGTGTTTGATGGGATAAATTGCCTACATAGTCCGTGCTTGCTCAATGTTTCAACTGCATTTTTAGATAAAACAGGCTACATTCACAGAGAATTGCTAAACTGTGCTCATTGTAAAACTGATTCTTTCAGTTGATTTTACCATACCCTCTTCGTCTGATAGGCTTTAGTTTTCTGAACAGCTTTACAAATTACAATACAATTGCAGCACTAGCACAGAAGTGCTGCATGTAATACAACCAGACACAAATCAATTGTACCACATTCTAATCAGGAATGAACAAGAAGAATAGAAAGATTTTTGGTATTGAACTGTGTGGACTGTGGAGGCTTGGTAGTGGGCTTGTTTTTACTACATAATCAATTATAGTTGTCCACTAACTATATTTATCATATGGTATGGGAAGCCCAGTTGCAAACTTGGATATGGTGTCTCGTTTGTGCAGTGTGATTATGGAGTACAACTGTGTGAGTGGTTCTTTAGAACAAGTCAAATAATGCTCAAAGTTTAGGACAAGTCAAATGCAAGTCAAAGTATAGAGAATTAATATTGTAATTTATAAAAATAACGATCAGTCAATTAAATAAAATTGATGCAAGAAGTTTTAAATAATATGTGAATAGAAGATATAAGAGAGTTCAATGGTCCATAGGTTTTGAGGATTACTCTTAAATGCCATGATAGTCCCATATTATACATACATGAACGATTAAAGATTTAAGTTGAAGAAAACTAGTTCTTTTGAGTTAATGTTTCAACTTGCTACTAAAAATTAAAAAAATAATTAGATAGTCATTTACCAGACTTTGCTTGGAGCCTACAACCAAGCTAATTTTTTAATGTATTTCAAAATATGGTATCCGACGTAATATATGTGTCTATCTATTATGGTCCAAAGTTGTGTCCTGAAAAAGGATCCATCGTCAATCCAATCCAATCCATTTAATATACAGAGTTAGAACCATATCAAAACTAAAAAAAATAAAAATAGAATGAATTATTAAATAATAAAATTAATTAACAAAATTATTATAGACAATAGTGATTTGAAAATATTATATTTACATTGCACGGAAAGAAAAAAACATTAAGCAATTGGACAAATTTTTATCAATCAGAATGGGAATAATTTAGATCCATATCGCAAAACCATGGATGGAATCCACATGGCTCATAATTGTCGCATTGGTAGCAAATAAATAGGATGATTACCTAATCTACTGCCAAAGTGGCTCATAATTTGCCTTTCCCCCACAACGTTAATTTTTATCCCATATATATTTGGCAAAATTTGGTATAGAAAAAAGAATAATCATCTGATGGGGGTGGCAAAGTCTGTCCTTGCAATTGAAAAAGTTGCTGCTCATAAGGTTTGGTCGAGTGATTTAAAGAATTAACTTATTTGTTATGGAAAAATTAAGTATTTAATTAAAATTTATGCCAGAGACTTTTGGTAGACTCCCACTTCTTCTCATCTTTTAATCTGAATATTACATGATGTTATAAAATTGACAAAAAGAAAAGAAAAAGCTGTAGTTTGACATTAATAACCTCGTCTCCATGCATAATGAGAAAGTCCGATGATTCTTTGACAAACACAAATGATTTAGAGATCCTAATTCCTATCCATCCAGTGTATATAGCAATTTTAATCAGATAAGTGATAATAGAGTTGTTAGTATTATTTGGTTTGAGTTCCGTTGTTTTGAAGTAGGACTAACTAATCTTGATGTCCATGCTCATGCATCACCTTTCTACTTGCTTTCTCATAAATATAACCTGATCCAATGGAATATAATAAGCAACAACTCCTCTTAGCCTCAGGTATAAAATTTTTCTGCCCAACTCTTGTTCAGTTCTCTATAAAAGGGTTCATTCCATTCAGCAAATTCCATCACAACAGCTCTCAGTCTCTCATATCACAACTTTGATCAGTTTTCCACTCTCTAAATAGCTAAAAATGAAGAATGAGTCAACTCCAGTTGATATGCCAGAGTCAAGCTCTGTTGCTAAAGGAAAAGCACCTCTCATTGCTGTTTCCAGGGATGAAAAGGGAGGATACGGGAAGGGGATTGCCATATTTGACTTCGTTCTAAGGCTAGCTGCTATAGTGACTGCTCTAGCTGCTGCTGCTACCATGGGAACTAGTGATGAAACTCTTCCATTCTTCACTCAATTCTTCCAGTTCCAAGCTAGCTATGACGATCTTCCGACTTTTCAGTTTGTGCTTTCACCTGTTAGATAATTTTCACAGAGTTCTTAAACACAACACCGCCCCCTTTTGGCATAATACTAGTTAACAATATCCTAGCATGAAATCAACATTGCAACCAGTTTAGAAGGCATGGAGATTTCTACAGAAATTCTAAGGCATCTATATATTCTTGCAGGTTTTTCATCATTGCAATGGCATTAGTTGCTGGCTACCTTGTCCTTTCACTTCCATTCTCTATTGTAGCCATTGTCCGCCCACATGCGGTTGGACCAAGGCTCCTGTTGCTTATTTTGGACACTGTAAGCTCTCTAAATGTTGTAAAATTAACATCTCGCAGTGAAATCCCAAATTCTCAACTGATTCTAACAAGAAATCTCTGCCCTCTTTTTGCAGGTGGCGCTTACTCTAAACACTGCTGCTGGTGCTGCAGCTGCTGCCATAGTCTACTTGGCTCACAATGGCAACTCAAACACAAATTGGCTTGCTATCTGTCAACAGTATGGTGATTTCTGCCAGAAAGTCAGTGGAGCTGTGGTGGCATCATTAATCACTGCTGTCCTCTTCGTGTTCTTGGTTGTGCTGTCAGGTTTCGCTCTGCGAAGGCACTGAAAGAAAAAAGAGCAGAACCTGTTCTGTTCTACCACTGGACTTGTTTGGTGTTTATGTTGTTGTTATCATTGTTATTCTGGATGTTCTTATTTTAAAATGGTGAGAATAATCGTGTGATTTACAGTGCTGTAAGAGAAAATTGGAATGAAAATTGAAAGTGTTTTTTATATATGCATTTGGGTTGCGTCACTTGTGTTGAGGATTGGCTTAAACCATCAGATGTTACAGCTCCTATCTCAGACAGATTGTTCTAGCAAACATTTTATTCATCGTCGTGTCTATTCCATCACTGCAATTTGGTTTGATCACCAGAATAGCTTCTGTACAAGTTTGTTTTTCTTGTTTCTTTGAAATTGAGACATTATTTTCCGATGCACACATTCTGCTCAACAGATTGAGCATTATTGCTTATTATAAAATTACTAATTTTACAAGTTACATAACCCTTGAAGCCACCAGATCAAAGAACGCAAAAGGAGATGACTTTAATATCTATTCAAGAATTTGGATCAGAATCTATTAAAGGACCATCTCACCGAAAAGATGAGGCCCTAGAATATAATTTATACTAATCTCTAACACACCCCTCAAGTGAAAGGCTCAACAATTGGGGTATGAAACTTGCACAAGTTTACATTGCCTTGTGCTTAATACTTGAGAAATTGGAGATGGTGAGACTTGAACTCATGACCTCAAGATCAACCAAGCTCCGATACCATATTAAAGGACCATCTCACCTAAAAGCTTAAGCTTATAGGTGAGGCTCTAGAATATAATTTATACTAGTCTCTAACACACCTCCTTAGTGAAAGGCCCAACAATTGGGCCATGAAACTTGCACGTGTCTACATCTAACACACCCTCTCAAGTGAAATGCCCAACATTTGGCCTCAAAGAGGCTCAACGGCCCAAGAAAGATCCCGGAACCCAAGCCATTTGATAGATCCCAAAAGATGGGTTATAAGCGAGGGAGAGTGTTAAACATATCCCATATTGAATAGTTAAACCAATAACAAATAATATATAAAGTTGAGAAGGGGCCACCCACCATAAAGCTTAAGTCTTTTGGATGGAACTTAATCTCAACTATTTAACTTAATAGAACCGACTCGTCCATTTACATAAACGAAACGCTAAATAAATAACCATACTCAGCATATGCAGCTCCCCTCCATTTCCTCAACAAGTCTTAAATGTAGTTGTTTTAATTAAATTATTGAAATATAATTGTCTTACTTAAAACAAAGGAGGGAGTTATTGAGCATTTGTTACAAAGGTGAGATAACTATAATTTACAAAGGTGAGATAACTATAATCCCAGTTATATTCCTCCCTCGGAATTAAAACCTTAACCTACTTTCAAATTCTTGTTAAAACTATTTTTACACTGAAATTTCACCATTCACCAAAGTAAAATCTAGAGCCACTGTGCCACATACACAGAGCTCAGATTGTCACACCCGTTACTGAAAATTGGATCCCGATGAAAGAATACATCAATGAGAAGTTAATTTGATAAGTTTAATGATTGTTTTTTTTTATTATTATTTATAGGTAAACGGGTGAAAAAAAACCTCTTGGATAATTAACTTTATGCCATCTCCCCAGCAATTCATTTTTCTGTTTTTCTTTCTTGGATCTTATGGTGGTAAGAAGTGAAAAATTGTTCCATTCATTCGACAGGTACACAGCCAAGTGCTTCCCATGTTTTTGAAACAATTTTTGTGTAAAAACAAGCAGTTGTGACTTGCGTCTTATGTTGCTCTAGGTCTGATAATCTTTGCTCATCTCTGTATCATATAGTCAAAAGGTACATAACACAACTCAGACGTTTACTAAGAAAATTATATTCAGAAAGTCCATAATAAGTAATAATTGAGTAGTTGATATTATTTGGTCAACTTGCTGCCTTGAGCTGAAGACCAACTAATTTATGTTCCTCTACTTCTCACCGCTTTCTGGTTGATTTGTTTTTTTATATATATATATATATAATCAAAAGTGAGCAAAAAGCAAGCTTTAAATAAAATGGAAATGGTTAGCAACTAACTCCCTTACTCCTGTAAATAAAATACTGTTTAAGATTTACAATCCTTGGTACAGACTCTACTTAACCAACTCCTCTAGTTCTCCATATATAAGGTTCCACAATTCAGTCTATTCCATCACAAGCTTTTGAAGTTTTTCCAATTCAAGCCATTCTCATCACAAGCTTGAGATCTTCCTTCTCTCTGTCCTTTAAGCTAAAATGTCAACTAGAGTTGATATTCCTGCTGAAAAAAGTGCTGTTGCTAAAGTAACAGCACCTCTAATCGGAGCTTCCGCCCATGGAAAGGGAGGATACAAGAAAGGGCTTGCTATATTCGACTTCGTTTTGAGGCTAGGTGCTATAACAGCCGCTCTAGCTGCCACTGCCACAATGGGAACTAGTGGTCAGACCCTTCCCTTCTTCACCCAGTTCTTCCAATTTGAGGCCGGCTATGATGATCTTCCCACTTTTCAGTACGACAATCTTTTATTTATCTTTAGTCCACAGCGAGATTAATATCTGCTTACCATTGTTAGATACCACATTGCAGCTTTTGCCAAAAGCTATAGTTACACATTATTAAAGCATTGAATTCAGATCATAGAAACCATCTTCTGCACTAACTAAGGAATTATTAATTACCTGCAGGTTCTTTGTGATTGCAATGGCAATAGTTTCAGGCTATCTCGTCCTTTCCCTTCCATTCTCCATTGTAGCCATTATTCGTCCACAAGCTATTGGACCAAGGCTCCTCCTCATTATTTTGGACACTGTAATTTCTTTAACCTTAATGCTATTATTATTATTATTATTATTTCTTTCTCTTTCAAATTTTGATGTGAAAAATACTAATGTTTTGTGCTTGCAGGTCGCCCTAACTCTAAACACGGCCGCCGCGGCTGCTGCTACTGCCATAGTATACTTGGCTCACAATGGCAACGCAAGTGCAAATTGGCTTGGTATCTGCCAACAATTTGGTGATTTTTGCCAAAGCGTCAGTGGGGCTGTGGTGGCCTCTTTCATAGCAGCTGTCATGCTCATGTTCTTAATTGTGATTTCTGCTTTAGCTCTCCGAAAGCATTGACATCAAGAACTAATCCTGTGTTCTTGATTTTACTCTGGCATGTATGATCATGATGGTGATCGATTGATATTGAACTATTTTTATTTTTATTTATGAAATTGTATGAACTTCTCTCATTGTATTGGGACAAATTGAAATGAAAAAATACTTTGTTTGGTGTCACACTATGTTACGATTGAGACAACTTCATTTGACATCTCCATAAATTAAAATGGCAGATTAATAAGCCATATTGTCAAAAGTACAACTTAAAATTTTGAGTTGAAATTGTTTTTCCATGAAGTGAGTTCTCTCCTCAAATGAAAACATTTTGATCTTGAAACTTGTAAAAAATACTCTCAATTTATAGCATTTTAGGTTCTAAACTTGTAAAAAATAGAGGCCTATTTTTTATCATCAAAACTTTACTATTATATTAAAAAATCAATTTTAGGTATTAAGTAAAGTCATAAAATATGATTTATGTTATACCTAAAAAGTTCCAAAACACTAAACATGAAATGGAAACACAAGATTTCATAAACATTTCATAAAGAACTTCTTAGAAAAATAACGGCAACAAAAAGTTGTCTAAATCAAACTCGCTTATATACACGAGTTAACATTTCATATGGTGTTACCGATCTCGTATCCCGGGAATTAAGAAAGAATCAAATGAACTAAAAGATCAATAGTAATTCTAAGAAATTTGATTTACCTTTATTGAAAATAGTTTTATAAGAATTGACAATACAGAGAGAAAATCCAAAAAGGAGAAAATAGAGAGAGAAGAGTTTACAAAAGATTTGAGAATAATCCTCTCTACAGTTCTTATTCTTTATATACAACATTATGTCAACTCAACTCAGCTCAACATTATCGTTTAATGCTTCATCTACTATCGTCTAATGCTCTTGTGTGCATGGTTATTTATTTTATGTTAACTCGTTGAATGAAGAATATCGAGCTAGTTGTGAGATTGTCGAGTCACCTAGGTTATAAGGATTGATGACGATATCATACCAAGCACGATTTATAAAAAAAGGAATACATCCTTTTAGGATATTTAGGAAATTTAAAATTGGATTAACAAGTCTCTTATTTAAATAAAAACCGATGTTAATCTTGACCCATTGGTTGTTTCTCGACATACCAGCCGTGTCGGACATAATTGGCTTTGATACTAAATTGACAAGACTCTCAATTTTGAGGCTTACCATCAATTTAATACAATTTTACCATAAAAAAATAAAAAAATTAATTTGATCTAGATTATAAAAAATTTTGGAAATGGATTTAGGAAATAATTTGGTAAACATAACCTTTAGAAAATACTTTTACAATTAGACTAAACCCGATACTTTTCATTGAAAAAGGTGTTTTTGGGCTATCTTTATCTTTTTAAAGATACAACCAACTCCTTACCTAAATCTCCAAATCCATTATCTTTCTTAGGTTTTCTAGTTCCCTTCAATACCAAGCAACGACTCCAAAACCTTTTTAATTCTTTTTCCTTAGTCAAAATTTTTGAAAATCCCATAATGTCGAGTAGCGATAACATTATGACTCGCTAGAGAATTCAAAGTTAGGCCACAGGTTTAGTCTATTTTAAGTTTATTTATTTAACTATATTTGCCATTTATATTTAAGTTCTTTATTTTCCAAGCCTTTATTTATTATTTATTTAATTTCAAGTCATTTACTTTATGCAATCTAGTTCATGTATTTAAATTTTTTCATATTGTGAATTGAGTCGGATGTATCCGTTTTGCATTGATACACACACATCCATGAAAAAAGCCTACAAAAGGTCCGGACTCGAGCCAAAATCCTTTAGGATTAAATAAGAAGATTTGAATGGCAAGTATGACGAAATTCTATTAATGTTCATCTAGATGACGAAATTCTATTAATGTTCATCCGGACTCCCGTTTGGATTAGAACTCACCATAAACATGAGAAATTATGAAATGACTTTCCCATATCTCTTATTGCATAAGGTTAGATGCTAAATTACTCCACCGATTATCTAGACAATCTAGGGACTTGAAAAGCCTTTAGTATTTGTAGTGTCCCCGCCCCAGTCATATTTCTACTACCCAAGTAGGTACCGGACGAAGTACGTTACGCCGACATACCCTAAACTCTAAGTAGTTTTCTTATGATATTCTTAGAACTTTAACAAGACATTACGTATATAACTCCTTAAGATAAAATTTACATATCATAATTAAATACATTAATAAAACATTAGAGGCGATATTCAATTTTTCACGAACTCCATACCTTAAATTTACGTACAAAATAAAAACTAATATATGGTGCCTCACATGAGCCAATTAGGAGAAGCCGACCGCATCCGTACCAACTTGTCCTTTTCCGTTAAGACATAAAAAAAATAACAACGAGGTGAGCCGAAGCTCGCAAGCTGTGGTGATGCACGTGATATGCAATCTTGTTTTGACTTCCCACCATACTCATAAGTTTTAATCTCGGTACCCCGGGTATTAACCAGCCTACTCTATTTATCATCCGGGTGATCCGCGGATCACCTTCTGCTACAACGAAATTATCCCTCGTTGTAACTACCGTTAGCGAGAATCCATCGTCTAACAAAGTGCAAGCACACAACTTGATTTCATCCGGATGATCCTTGGATCATCTTCCGTTACAACGGAATTATCCCTCGTTGTAACTACTATTAGCGAAAATCCATCGTCTAATAGTGCGTGCACACATCCTAGAGTACTAGACTACTAATACCCATTTATTACGGTTAGGTTATCAAACCTAGATGTATAAATCATTTCTCAATCAATTGACTTGTCTTAAACCACCCACTATGCACATGATGCACGTGATGACATATTTAATCACATTCAACCAAATTTAGATACCAACCCTTCATTCTCATGCCATACTCATGGTCCAACCCACACTCGGAATTTATCCATTGCTCACATACCAATCATGAAACCCACAACGGGAACATAATCTCCGCTCATTAATATTGTTCATTAGTTTCATTAATATTTAAAAGAAAGTCCAAGTCCATTTACTTTAATCCGAGCCCATTAACTTTATCCTATGTACATTAACTCTATTTAATTCCATTTTGTTTAGTCCAAGCTCATTTAGTTTATTCCAAACCTATTAATTTTGTCAAAGTCTAATTTTTTTGGTTTTAGGATTTATTACCGGGCAACTCCTAATCGAGTAAATAATTTTCTAATTTCAGAACATAATTAAATCTTAATCATTTTATTTTAGATACTAGACATATTTATTTATAACATATCCAAAAATTAGGTCTAAATACCAAGTACACAATTAATTACAAATTTTTGAAACTTAGGGACCAATCTGCCTAATAGTAGTTTATCTAGAGCTATCCATACTAAATTGGGTATAACTCTTTATACACAAATCCAATGACCAAGAAATTTTAAAGGAAGTTATTTGAAACATAGAAGAACAACTTTTATGCTTTAAGTTTCACCTAGAAATCGATCTAAAATCCTTGAACATGCACCCTAAAATTCAGACAGAATTTACTCCTTATCAACACTAATTTATTAGTTCATTCCAAGCTAACTTTAAACATGTTTTAGTTCACTTAAATTTAGTCCAAGTTCAATCCAACCCATCACCACATACTTGGACATTTTTCAAAAAATCATAACATCATAAATCATCATAACAAAGCATCCATACATAGATTTATCCCAAGCATCAAGCATATAACCATTGAAAATTATTACAACCCATTAAATAAACACTAATAAAATAACTTAAAAATAATTTAAGACATTAATCAGCCAAAAAAAATGAAACCTACTTACCTCTTTTAGGGTTGATTATAGTTTTCTTAGCTCTTTTTCTTTCCTTTCCTTTCTCTCCTCACGTTTTTCTTCCTCTCTTTTCTTTCTTGCCTTTTCTCTCTCATTTTCTAGTACTTACGGGTTACTAAAATTTTTCTCCTATTTTAACACTTGATATATATATATATATATATATATATATATATATATATATACACTTAATTTCATTCAGCTACAAGTGTTAAAAATTAATGGGATAAAGTGTAAAGGTTATGGGTGAGTTATGAGGAAAGTCGGTCGCTTTGGAATCCATAATGGGTGAGTTGGCATTAAATTCATTTATTGCATTTACTTAGGTGTCTATATAAAATTTAGACTAATTAAAATCATTAATTAACTTAATTCAAGTAACTAAAACTACTTTCTTTCATAAAAATTCGAAAATTTTCATTTTTAAAAATTCAGAATTTCTTTTCCCTCCAAAATTCCAGCAGTTGTTTTCTTCTAACCCATCTATACTAAAATGTGCATAACTCTTTCTATATGTATCAAAAATTTATGAAATTTTATAGAGAGCTAGCACACACATAGAAAAACAACTTTTACTGTTTACGTTTTTCTCAAAAATCAATCTAACAGTATCAAATAAATCTCACAAGATTCTGCAGCATTCTTCTCCCAAAATTCTAGCGAGAATGCATTTCGAAACAACCCTCACTATAATTAGTATAAATCTTAATGTATAGGTCTAAATATTATAAAATTTTATACAGGCCTATTAAACACATAGATGAAAAACTTTCATTCTTTAAGGTTGACCCAAAAATTACTCTAAAGTCCTCAAATAATTCACACAAAACTCGAGCATAATATAGTCCTTAAAACACCGATTTTGCATATTTGATTTCTTTAATAATTAAACCATTAATCTCAAGCACAATAAATTTAATTTAACATAAATCACATATTTCAAGCATTAATTTCTCATGATGAAATGAGAATTATACTTACTCTTAATATACATATATATAGAATTATTCTAATACACGTCGCGTTAGGGATTAAGGGTTTTTACGGGGTTACAGTATTAGACAAGTTTCGATTAAGTCTTGTTTAGAAAAGTTAGATGATATCTACTAGGATTGATCCATTAAGACATGAACTAATTTTGTCATGTTGCTCATACTAACCTTTGTTTTAGTAGGTTCTCATAAAAAAAATATGATAGAGAGAGTAGAGTATACTATTGAGGATTTTAGGGCCGAGTCAAAGCAAATCTAGTTTGAGAATGAAGACCGCCTACCTTTAGGACTCCGTATTTAGATTATCGGATCAAATGGGACTTGCCGACAAGTTGGCTAGTGTGAGCCCACTACTTGACTACTAAAAGATGTTTACCTTTCAAGATTAGTTTGACTTTCAAAAATTGTATGGTGACATTGTTCGACTCGCTTAAGGTGAAAACTCAAATTTTCTCGCTTCTAAATTATGATAGGATATTGAGATCCCGAGTATTGTTGCTTCGTATTTGGAGTGCATACCTTTCCCCAACACTTGAGGACTACGAGACTCTATTGACATGTCTTAAATCGTACACCATATACTTTTATAGTCTCGCTAGAGCATGCACCTTTTAATTTTGCATGGATAGTTAGACTCGATTCTATGATTGTGACTAAGAAAGTAACTAAAAAGGTCGAGTCAAAGGTGGTTTTGGAGCCTATTTCGGTTAGAATTTAAAAGGCATCTAAATGACTTTGACAATATTATTAGATTGAGGATTTTGGTATTAGGAATTTATGGGTCGGTACTACTTTCGTTAGTTAAAAACATGATTGACTTCGAGGCGCTTAATGTATTAAAAAATATGGTGTCATTTAAAGTTAATCTTATAATGTCGATTTTAGTTGAAACACTATATTTGCTGAACTTTTATAGGAAATATGGTGACGGATACCCGAGATGCTCGCGTCTAATTGTTATTTGTTTGGACTCGTAAATCTTACGATAACTAAAAAGCAACTAGAATCTTTAGAGCACTATAGCACTTGTATTCAAAACTAGAGAATTTTGCTAGCCATCCTCTCAATGAGCTTGGCAAGATTACTTAAACTAGAACGTTTCTCGCTTTAGAGTAGTTTGAATTTTACTTAAGAGCATACTATGCATTCTTTCACTCTTATTCGATTACCGTGGTACTTTTTCCTAGGTACCTTTGATTACGGTTCGATGCTCGTATTAGCTATTGCTCGAATATGTTTCTAACACAATTGAAATTCTAGTAATTTATCTCAAGGACTATTGAACTAGCATAATTTTATAAAGATTTAGAACTTTAAAGAAACTCTTAGAGCAAGTCAAGAAAGCTTGGCCATATAGGAGAGTTGTCTCTACTATAAGAAGAGTTGATGGGAAAACCTCTCTTGGTTACCTAAAATGGCAAGCAAACTAAAAAAAATGGGTACCAAGTCCTAACTTTTGAGGATCCATCAAGGTTGATGAGTGAGTCCATGAAAGATATCGCCCAAGAAGTGAATATGAAATCTATCATGAAGACATGATTTCCAAGCTAAGAGGGTTGAAAATGAAGAAGAAGAAGTTAGAAGAGAATTTGAAAGCTACCAAACAATGAGTACTTTAGAGAAGGAGAAAGAGGAGCTAGGAGTTCGACTCTAACAAACTAAGAATGCTTTAGGACAATTGAGGACCGAGCATTAGACATCGGGTTTAGAATATGAAGGTCTAACTTAATTTATGACCGTAATGATTGAGGAGTTAGTTGAACTAGATTTTGAGAATGGAGAGCTTAAGGATGAGATAGAAGAGCTTAAGGTCCAAAAGAAAGATCTAGAAGAAGTCAAAGCTACTATTAAGGATCAAATTATAAGTTAGTCTCGGATACTCTAATATCCGAATACCCGCTTAGTGGCAATTGGATAGGTTAAATCAAGATATTCGAGAGAAAAATAACCAAGATACGAGAGAAGTATGCTTTGGCCTTTTAGATACCGGATAGAGAGGGATGCTATGAGAAGAAATGTTGCTCAATAAGGGTATCATGTCATGAAATATCACTTACAAGCGCATAGTGCCAAACACCATGCCCTCATAATGATAATGCTTCACACGACCAAGCGACTAGCAAGCAACCAGTACACCACTAAATTTTCTTTTTGTTGTAAAACTGTTCAACTCGTTACTATCTCAGCCTATGAAAGGAAGAAGATATCAATTCATTTACCATTGAGGACTACCTACTAGCAAACACATTATATCATTGATAATGGAAATCATACAGAAGTTTTGCATACAACTCAACTACAGGGTTGTGTACCCAATCACAAGGGCACAAAGACAACTTGCTCTCGCTACCCAATCCCCAACTTGGTTGCTCGATATCAGACTGGCATTTAGACGTGGGTAACGTATGAGCAATGACTTGATCTTGTAAATACATCAGCAATGTTCCAAAACTAACAGGTGCCCCGGATGGCTTGGATTACAAGGGATGAATCAGACTCAATGGTATAGAGGAAGCAAACCAGATGAGATTTTATTTTCCTTGTTGGCTATGGTAAGTTTCAAGGCAGCTTTCATTAAAAAAAATATCAAGGCAGCAGAGAGAAAGCAACAGACTTTTCTTTAAAAAGGTGTGCCAATTTTAAAGATTCCCGTGTGGGTTTTAAATCTTAGGACTGAATGGTTTTCATCATTTGTTTACAAAACTATATTAGTAGCATTTTTATTTGCTTGGAAAGTGATAGAAGTCAACCTTCGCGTTGGTTTCCTTCTTTTAGCTGTTGCTACTTTCAGCCATCCTAACAAAATCTATCACGCACCGTGAGGAAAGAACAACTCATGCATGGTTGCTTTGTATCTTTTGTTAGGAAAGAACAACTTTGAAGTCAAGAGAAGGGACAAGTAAGAAGATCAAAAGAGTCCATGCATGCATGGTTGCTTGAAGATGAATGTGAGTAGCTCTTCGTGTAGATCACACCATGTTGCCATTGTATTTTCATGCTCTTGAAGATCAAAAGAATCCTAATATTTTTTCATGGAACCAGAATCAGCTGTCCCAATGGAGCAGGAAAAGATGCATATGTTTTTGCTGGACAATCTCTAAGTACCTTCCAAATTCCAATACCTGGAGGCTGTAGGTCCTGTTTTCCAACGCCGAGCCATCAACCATCCACTTAAACCATAGGATATCTTTTTGTTTAGAAATAAACGGCTGATTGTTTCCTTCATTTACGAGCTCATGATGTTAATTAAATAATTCAATAAAACTTGATGTTTTCATTGATAATGACATTAAAATATCATTGTTTACCTAAAAAAAATGAAAATTATGATTCATTGGTTAATAACAAATGCAATGCCCTTGAATTTCTTAATAATCTCTTAAGTCAACACTAGTGTGCATGCCTCCCTCGTCAACCATATAGATTGAACGTTTAGGCCATGACAAAAAGTATCACTTTTAGTAATGGAAAATAATTGTTGGAGTCTAGTGGACATACATTAATTTAACAAATTTCTAGTTCCATTTAGTTCTTCTTCATAATATAAAAAGCAAGGAAATAGAAAAAAGTGAGGTCTATTATTATAAATATTGGTTTGTTTTTTTTTTCAAAATCTTATCCTTTGTTTTTAATTTTCTCCATTATCTCAAAATTATTTAAATTTGAGGCCTCTTCGGTTCAATTTTTATCTCGTTAGCAAATACTTTAATGTAAATTCGATGCTTTTGTAAATTTATTTTAAGATTAGGGCAAACATAAAAAAAAGAGGGAGCATAAATTCTCTTTTCTTTTAAGTTTTTAATTTTTTTAAAATAATTATTTAAATTTATATGGTAATAATTAATTAAAAAATAACATAAATGCTTACATGGTAAAAACATTCATCTTTTAATAAATAAGATTTAAATTATTTTATTTTTTTAAAAAATAGATTAAAAAGTTCTCTTTCTAGGGAAAAAAAAATGCAATGTCCAGGTACCCAATTCGATATCCTCTAAAGAAAACCTTCCCTTAATTTGCTATACTTGAAAAATGGATCCTCTAGCAGCATCAGCCCTTCTCCTGCTTGCTGTATCAACGCCTTTCGTGCCTGCCCTTTTTAGTTGCTGCAATGCTTCTCATCGAAGGAAACCACTTCTCATCGAGATAGGCAGCCCAAAAGCGAGCAATGGCACGATCATAAGGATCAGAGGGGAGGATGAAAGGGCAAGAAGACCAATCCTCATCAACGTACACCGTGACAAGAGATTCACAAATGGGCTTGCCATCATGAATCAAAACTGAGATTTTCTTACAAACATGGTCTGATTCAAGAAGAAGCTGGCTTTTGGATCCTGGTTTTCCTCAAGAAACTTATACTCCACAGATTTAATATTGAGGGCAATTCTTGGCCTCATCATAAAAGAGCTTGGCCATGCCTCTTTAAGCTTCACATCACTGTTAGCCATGATTGATAATATCAAGCCAAAAGAAGTGATTAGAGAAAGTGAGTTCTCAATTCAAGAAATAGCAATTGCAGCTGCAAACGATTGAAGGTTAATGAGATTTGAGGGAATTAGGGGCAATATTGTCTTTTTAATTATTTTTAATACTAAATATTAGTTTATTACATATTTTTTTTAATAATTTTGGAAGGAAGATACTATTAATTAGAACCTAATATGCAATATGCCCATCTTGATTGTTGTTAATATTAAAGTGCAATGTGAAATGAGCAATCGACGTAATTATAATAAAACTTATGAATTAATAAATTTTTAAAAAATAAAAAGTTTCAATTAAATAACAAAAAATAATAAAAAGTCAATAAAAAAATTGAATAATACAGAAATTAAATGTGAGATAAATCTATTTTAGAAATATTTTTAAAAAATATGCAGAAATATGTACAATTCACCTTTATAATAATAATAATAATAATAATAATTCACCTTGTCTGTAAAATTGAAAATGGAAAAAGAAACATATTTTTTATGACCTTAACTTAGAAGTAGAATTTTTATTTGCTTTTTTTTTTTTAACCCTTAACTTATTAGTAGCTCTGTTGATACTCGCATAGCCTCTTTTACATAACCGTCCCTAGCATTCCATATATTTCACAGCAACCCAGCCAGGCATGAAGCAAACAACCAAATTCCGGAAGGTTAGTTTTGTAATTCAACCTGAAAAAGGGGAAGAAGTAGAACTGCCTCTCTCAAGAGATTAGTATTTAGTTACATAAACGCAGTTAACAGCAGAGTGGAGTGCATCATCGCTTCACTGTCAAAAGTCACGCGTCGTCTTCTTTTCTCTCTCTTCCGCTAGTAGAAAACTAGAACAGCTTTTTGCCGGGAAAATCGAAAGTAAAATCTGATCGGTTCAATTAGGGTTCAAGGAAATGTCACAGACAGGGAAATTGATGCCAAATCTGGATCAACAGAGCACTAAGATGCTCAATCTCACTGTACTCCAGCGAATGGATCCTTTCATCGAAGAGATTCTGATCACAGCCGCGCATGTCACTTTTTACGCTTTCAATATTGAAACCAATCAATGGGTACGCACTTACTTATTACCAATTTCAATTTTATTCGAATCTGATATATGATTTTTTTTCTATTCGCATTTTTATCATTCTAGATTTTTTAATTTAATTATTTCTGATTTCAGAGTCGCAAGGATGTTGAAGGATCTCTCTTTGTAGTCAAGAGGTACTCTTCTTATCTGTTTTTTTTTTTTTTTGGCAAAGAACTAATTATTTTTTCTTACAAGTTTTGTGATTATCTTATTAATAGTTTTTTTATTATTATATAGGAATACTCAGCCGCGGTTTCAGTTTATTGTAATGAACAGGAGAAACACAGGTTTGGATTTTTTATTTGTTTGTTTGTCGGTTGGTTTTTTTTTGACGAGCGGGTTTTTGAATTTTTTTTTCCCATTTATGTGGGCAGAAAACTTAGTGGAGAATTTGTTAGGGGATTTTGAGTATGAAGTTCAAGCTCCGTATTTGTTATATCGGAATGCATCCCAAGAAGTTAATGGTATTTGGTTTTACAATCGGCGTGAATGCGAGGATGTTGCCAACCTCTTTACTAGGTACACACAATTTAATTTTACTTGACAACCTATTTAGGTAGATTTTGTATGAAGTTAACTTAAGCTTTATACAATATAGATTCCTTAACAAGCTTTAGAGCTTAGGCTTTGAGTGAATGATTAGGTGTTGTTCACATTATTAGTAGGTGGGTCTATTTAATAATTAGATTTTGATTACTTTTTACAGGATACTTAATGCTTACTCGAAGGTTCCTGCAAAGCCAAAAGTGGCTTCAGGCAAAAGGTATTTTGTTCTCTTATATTTGAGTCATCTGGAATTAGTCATTGGATATCTTTAAGGTTGTTCAAATGGTTTTCAATTACATGCACAATCTACTAATTGCTGTTAGAACATATTTCTATGTGAATATTAACGTCTTTAATTCAACTCAACTAAGAATCAAGCTTGGATTGGTTGGAATTGTCTACGGGAATCTTAACACAGTTAATTATGAAATGAAAAAAAAAAAAAAACCAACATGGATTGTTAAGCTATTTTTAATAATTAAGAAACATTGTATGTTGGTATAATTAGGAAATGAAAATATCATTTACTTTCAACTTCATACTTCAAGTTTTCTACAGAAATTCTTCTTCTGTGAACATAAATGGCAGTGCATCTCCATGATCACTTCCCTCATATGGTTTCAGTTTGTTTTGTACTCAAGTTTACATGCCTTCTAAGTATATTTTGCATTTGCATGTTGTCCCTCTGGACTTTTAAAATCTCAATATAACCACGTAATTGTGATTGCTGATGTTGCATCATCAATTTGATTTTTACTTTTTTTGATTGAGAAAATTGTGCTTTTTAGTACTGCGTCTAGCTTATTGTTTGCAAAAACTGAAAATCACTTAGTGAGTTTGAGGAGCTTGAAGCAGTCCCAAGTATGTCAGTGTTTGAAGGTCCCTTGGAACCATCATCAACTGCCTCTGCTGCTAACGATAGCGCCGAAGATTCTTCATTTGAGAGCTTCTTTAGTGTAAGTTCCATCGCTTATTCTTAAGTGTCAATTTTCAAGCATGCAGTATGCAGAGAGCTGCTATTTAGATTCTATACTCAATTTGTTTGCCAATGAAGATATTTGTAAATTCTGCCTTTTGTGTCATTTAGGATTACACTTATCAGTTTGATACTTTACATGGTTGGCTCATTTCAAAATTGTATGTTTTCCTACTGAAAATTATCAATTTCATGCCCGAGTGTATACTTGCATTATTGTCAAATGCCTAATTTGTGATCCTATTTTGTTGATTGAGTTTCTATTGTTGTCATTGTAATAGTAATAATTTTTATATTTAGCATCAATCTTCATGTTTCTAGATTATAACATAAAGATCTTTCTGTTTTTCCTCAAAACATGTCGCTTTGCTATGAATGACTGCTGCATCTGTGATACTTCTAGATGTAAGGTCTTGTTTTGGTAGTCTCAGAAAATTTTATTAAATGATTAAGGTTTTTTCCGTGCATCAAATAATAAGCATGTTAAATTATGATATCTCATCATTGGTGCCACGGGCCATGTGATTGGATATGGTGCCAAATAATGATACAAGGCACTTCACCAGCCTCTTGCAGTTGCGGTGCTGTTGCTTGAATTTAATATTGATCTGTGGGTTCCCAGACAGCCTTATCCAGAAAAGAAAGATAGTTACAAAGGAGTTGTGAGAATTTGGACCACCCTACATTACTCAAACTAGTATTAAAAATTGAGATAGCTGACTAAGGCATGGAAAAATGGAAATTTATGATTTTGCTTTAGTATACTGGAGCAAAAATATTTTCAAAATTTTTCTATCTTGTGTAATTAAACCATCAAACGCGCTTGCTTGCTTATTGTGCTTTTCTTGTCTGATTATTTTTTTTTAAATTCTCTCTACCATACCCTTAAATTATTTTTAACATGTGACTGGCCTGAAGTTTTGATACTGTACTTGCAGACAGCCATGAATGTTGGAAGTACTGCTTCCAGTGTAGCAAGTTCAAGACAGCAATATCAGCCTTCTCCCACCATTCCATTATCCTTGCATACACCTGCTGTTGTTATGCCTTCTCCACCAGTTCCGCAAATACCATCTCTCCCTCTTTCGTCTTTACCCACCTCAAAAGCTATCCATGGCACTCCTGATCCAATCATTAGTGGCATTCATGTCACTAATCTTGTGAAGCCCTCATCTTTTTTTGCACCCCCTTCTTCCTCATCTGCAGTGACTGCACCACCTATATCCTCGCCACTGCCTAGTGCTCCTGCACTTCAACCTCCCCTGAATCTGCAACGACCATATGGCACCCCAATGCTTCAACCTTTCCCACCTCCCACACCACCACCATCTCTTACTCCTAGTTCTACTGCCACTCCTGTTATTAGCAGGGACAAAGTCCGTGATGCATTTCTAATGCTTGTTCAGGTACTTGATCCCTTTCTTATCCTTCATCTCCCCTTTATGTCCTTTGCTTGCTTGCTTAATGCAGGGTAATGTATTTTTGAATATATGTACAGGGTAAAAACCTTTTGTTTTGTTTTTAAATTATTGGCTTCTCTTTTCCTTTTGAGAAAAAATGAGAAGAAAAGAGAGGAGTGAGCATCTGCAACAAAATTATTGATTCGCTGATTTTTCTTATGCTAGGATGATCAATTCATTGATATGTTTCATCAAGCACTGCTGAAGGTGCACCATCCATGAGGAATCGAAGAGAAACAGTGACCTTCCCTTTGACAGATGTTGCAAATACAGAATGGTCGAAACATGAGTTCTCTGTACAGCTCTTGGTCCTTGGAAAGAATGGGGGTATAGCTCTTGGTCAGAAGAATGTCACTTTTGGTTGGTTCAAAGGAATGTGTTCTCTCGTTCAATGTAATGTTGTAACAGTAGGAATAGAAGAAGCCTCATTGGTTAAGCAATGAGCTTGTGGTGTCAGTTTCTTTAGGTTCTGTGGTAGGACCGTACTGGTTATGTCTTGATGTGTAGCAATAAGCCAGTAAGGACATTATGCGAGAAATGAAGTTTTTCACTTCTACGATCTCTCTTTTCCACGTTGTTAGCTAGCGCTCCTTTAATTTTCTAATTATTTGAAGTTGTGATTTCATCGCCGTGAATGGAAATGGAATCTTTATTTTTATGGTCCAGTGAATATAGAAAGCGCGAAATGAATAATTTTCCCCAAATTGAGGGGCATTAAAAAGTGCAGACAACGACTGCCTTAGTGTTAAACGGGGGTAGTTAATACCATAATTATGTTCATTTTTAATTTTTTCTCAATCAAATATATAATTTTTTTTTGTGTACTGTTTTTTTTTTAATTGTTAATCAAGTTTTTCTTGCTAACTAATGATATAGATGCCAGAACTATGCATAACAGCTCCATTATACTAGCCCTCTCCGACAATGCTAGAACCGACCACCACAACCCAAACGATGCCGATCTTCCCTTTTCTTTTTTTCGACGGCAGCAACAACTCCTTTGTTGCCAATCTCCACCATAGCCACCCAAACAAAAGTCAACATTCCTTCTCCGTCCGCCACAACATTAAAATCAACAACTGCAATTCTAAAACTGACCACCACAGCATTTAAAGCTGCTGATCTACTCTAGTAAACGTCCAAATCCGATCGGTCAGTAATCCTCCTAACTTTTCTTTTCTTTTTCTTGCCATCCACGGTCTAGACAACAAAAACCCCTAAACCAGAGACCAACGCCTCAAATTTGAAACTCTCCTTCCATTTTTTTTTTTGGCGCCAAAACTAACCTTTTTTGGACCAACCACCATCAAATCCGAACCTCGCAGCCTTGGTCGCTATTTTCTTTCACTTCCGTATCTCTTTCTTTCTTTTTTTTTTTCATTTTTATTATTTTTCAAGTTAATTTACTTTTTTTTTCATTTTAGTTTTTTTGTTGCCATTATCATGAATATACCACCTACATGGTTAACAGATATTTGCAAAGAGTTAAAGAACTAATCAAATAGAAAAAAAAATTATAAATTAAATTACTCATAATAAAAATTAACGAATATATATATCAAGAGCTTAAGAAATTACGAGTTTAAATTGTAACAGATTACTCTGCCGAAAGTTTTGAGTGTAGGTGTGTGTGTATATATACACAAAGAAAATGACTAGTTGAACACCTAAAATGTAATTAACTCCCGTCAAAAACGTACTCGTAACTCGCAAGTCCTCCCAACCCAAAAGGGCATAAATAAGAAAACCCTAATCGCAAAGCTGAGACACATACTCAACTTGGAGTCGTCCTCTCCAATACATCACAAACAAACACAATCAGGGAGTTGGTAAATGGCTGCAGCACTTAAAAAAATCGCAGGAGGAAAGAGCTTTATGCTTTCAAGTATCAGTAATAAACTTGTGGCTCCTCCAGCTGCCTTTTTCATTTGGCAGCGAGGCATAACCACTAAACTTTTTGTTGGAGGTGCTCTACCCTACTCTCCTTCTCGACTATTACACTTGTAAACTTGATATTTAGCGTTTCCATCTACATTACAAAACATCAAATAATATTAGTAGAGTTGTCCCAAAGTTTTCTTGATTGCTGATTAATCTCGACAACTGTTTGTAAAAATGTCTGAACCAAAGCACTACTTGACTTAGGAGTGAGTTCATGGTTACGTTTACTTGATGGATTATTTTATATGTTTATTTCTGCCTTCGACTTTTTATTGAAACTTGGTGTTGGGTTATCATCTATCTCCGCCTCACAAATATTACAATTTGCTTGTCTATCAGTTGGTCCAATCTTGACTCATAATTGCTTAGTTTCAGCCCAGCAACACTATATCAATTAACCAGATCATCTTTATTGAAGTTGTAACGCAATCAGATTCATGTTTGTTGTATGGCGGGGCTTGCAAGTAAGCAGCCTTTCAACTATAAGGTAGCAGAATTGATGGTAGGGAAACGTACTGTTTTTCTTATAAAAAATATCACTTCTTATGAGCTGCTATGACAACATAGTAGATAATATTATATTATATGTAGTACTAAAGAAGTTTCGTGACTTCGATAATTAAGTTCTTCCCATTGTCTAAGCAGGTAAATATAGTGGACTAGCTTTGCGGAAACTTGTGTATTTTCTAGGATGTTTTGGATGGTGGGAAATTAGGTTGTGTCAAAAGTTTAGTGTAAACTAGGATGTCTAGGATGCGAGTTGTTTGGGTGTAACCGTTGAACAAAGTCAACCAAACCAATCTCAGATGGGTTGGTTTGCTTAGGTTCTGGAGGTTTATTCATTTCTTCTGTGGTAAACTAAATGAGAGACAGCCCAAGAATGACGCAGTTTTGGGTTGATATTAATTTTAGTGCAACGTGTGTTTCTATTCCAAACAAATGCTGACCGATCTTCCTTCTTACTTCTTACTTCTGGATGAGATCCTGGCACTTCTTAATTGGAACTTATTTGTGGCAAGGGATATATAGATGGTGGTTGTTAATTTATAATATTATTTCTTCTCAAGTTTAACATGCCAAAAACTGTCATTTTACTGATGAACTATGAATATATTTATGCAACTTAGTTGGCAATGGATTTTTAGTATGGCTATAAAACTATACGCTGAACTTTTCTTTTTTCTTCTTTTCGATTTGCTATGTTGCAGGATTGTCAATTCACACCACAGAGAATGGATTATCTGAAGCATTTTCTCAATATGGTCAAGTTGTTGAAGGTGATTTGAAATTAGTTCGTGCAATAAAATCTCTTATCTCAGATTATTTGATCAGTCGACCAATCAGTGCTAGTTTACTTTCTTTTTCCTGTGCCAGCTAAAATTGTGATGGACCGATTCTTAGGCAAATCAAAAGGCTTTGGTTTTGTAACTTTTGCATCTGAAGATGAAGCTCAGAAAGCACGGGATGAGATGAACGACAAGGTAAATTCGGATTTCTCTCTGCATTTTGATTTGAGTGTATTTAACTCAAAATTTCAGGAATAACAACTGAATTTATAGCAGACACTGAATGGACGAGTCATCTTTGTGGATTATGCGAAACCCAAAAGTAACTTTGGTGGTGGGATGCCAATTGCTAGAGGACCTCCCGAACCAACACCCCAAGGTTGAACTATGAGGATATAATTTTCTGAGTCATTTGCAGGAAGAGTCAGATACTTGCATGTTAAATCTTGGCGTTTCGTTCTCTCCTTTGTGCAAGTGATGAAATTTATATGGTAATTCCAAATGCATGACAACGTACCATGCCTGAATCAAATACCTACACACGAAAACCTGTGGATTGGTTGTTCATTCTAGAGAAGAGAGTAGAATTGTTCGGCTACAAAGAGAAGTTCTTGTGAGCTACAAGATGTTGATTGTTGGCTGTAAGAACAATAATGATTTGAGTATGGATCTATATTATGCGTACAAGTTACTTTTTGTTATATATAGCCAAGTATTGAACCAAATTACATTATCTTTATGTGTCCATATTCTAATGCAAAAGGTGTGATGAATGAGACAATAGCAAGCTCATCTCCGTATTATTTCAATTAGAGTTTCTCCATGGATTGAAAAAAAATGAAAAAAAAATTATTTTGGACAAATCACATTTACTGAATTAAGATCCATCTTCCATTCAATTTCAATCCCTCCCCCATGTATTCCTGAAGAAATAATCTACTATTTCATCATGTCATGTGCATTCAAGCACAAAACAAATTTATTTTGAAGCCCTCTTTATGCTCAGCTGCCTTCGGTTGTCAGGAATTGAAGAATAGGGAACAATAACTTGACAAAACCTCCATTCCATTTATCATAGTAATTGTCATGTATAGCTAAACAATTAATTACATGCTTAGGGCCCTTGACCCTGCAACTCTCCCTGGGCTGTCCATACCTCCTGCAAGGCAAGTTTGATTAGTACGCTGTTCAAAAAACATCAGAAAGTACTCCTCAATGGCATTAAAAAAAAAGAGCGAAAAAAAAAAAAAGGAGAAACATGAGAAAGTGCTCCTGAATCACATTCAGAAAAAGAAAAGGGGAGAAATGATCGTGATGCAAAAAAATTCCGACAATAAACTGCCATCAGAATAATACATTCATCGCTACTATAATAGGAATCCAGTAGAGAATGTGAAATCAGAAAAAACTCAGTGCTGAGGATGGTGTACTCGCAATGTTTGGAAGGGAAGAAATGTAAAGGAGTAATTGAGATGGGGATAAAGTGGGCACGGGACCTGATTTCTCCTTGGGAAAAAGAAAATGGAAGGAACAATCAACAATGGAGGAAAATTTTCCTTCCAGGACCATCCAACAGCAAAACCCTCCCCAAAAGAGGAGAGAACGGGAAGCAAATCCGGCCACACCATTGAATGAATTTACAATTTTTCTTATTTTTTTGGTTTTTTTTCTGATACCTATTATTGAAATTCTACATTAATTCCTCTTTCCTCTAATTTTCACACATCCAAATAACGGGGGATAAATTATATTATCTCATTATGTTCCCTCTACTTTCATTCCCTTCCTGTTCCTTCCTCCCTATTCTCCCCGCTGAAAGAGTTAGTAACGTAAGTTTTTTTTTTTTTTCTTCTGTCACCAACAACAGCCACATTTGATGAACTTTAGGACCTGATGTCGGAGGCAAAAAAGTCAGTCTTCAAATAGAAGGATCTAGGGATTTCCAGACCGAAATTCAATTCAAATCTAATGACATTTTCACAGTATTCAAAGCAGTGGAAAACATATGAAGAAGAAAGAGAGAATACATAAGGGGTAGAAGAAAAGCCTAGGTTGACAGAAAGAGAGGTAAAAGAATAGCATGCAATAAACTCCTTTACGTTTCTTTGATGCACATTATGCACTAACACCGCTGTCTCCATGGTTTCGTGCTCGACATCCAGCCATACCCATCAAGCCATCGTCAACCAAAATGGAAGTTATACAATTAGATGGTGACTTGTTTTGCAGAATCTGTGCACCAGGAGAAGTGCCATGAGCAAAAATCTAGCTCCCTTAACTCGTTGCAATTACCAGTATGTAGTCGATAGAGCTTTCTGAAAAATAGAATAAAGCAGCACGGAAAAAATCAAGTAGTCAGTCAAATCAATCTTCTACGATATACTCAGATCCAGTTAGCTATCGATGTATACCTTAAACATTGCTTCTGTAAGAACTTTTTTAACATGGCTTTATAATACTCAAGGAGTAACTAGTAGTATATACAGTAGTTACTCCATAAATCTAATTGGAAGAGAGATATAGACCCAAAAAAAAAACAGAGAGAGAGAGCAACAAGAGAAAGAAAATTAAAAAACAAAAATGTAATAACGTGAAAATCTTTTTATCACTTTTAGTGAATCCAGAGAGAAACAAGAGAGAAAATTTAAAAAAAAATTATGCGAACGTGAAAATCTTTTTATTACTTTTGATGGGTCCAAATTTAATTTTATATGTCTATCTCTTTCCTCCAAGTAGATCTATGGAATAACTACTGTATATGTCACTAGTTATTCTTTGAGTATTATAAAATTTCTCATTTTCTATTGCCAAGTTCATTTTCTCAACAAGTATACCAGCATCACCAAATGGAAACCAAAGGAATTGCAATGAACCATAGAACAACCTGAAGAAGTTGGTCCTCAACCAAAGCTGATAAGCTTGGTAAAACAGGATATCATCCAACAAATTCAGGAACGAATGAGGCTATATGCAACTCCGTACAAAAACTTGAGGGTACATAGTCAAACAAATGAGAACTAGAATAACTCAGAATAACATCAACCCAAGAAATAAAAGGTGCCACACTAGCATGAGATACATATTTATCTAAGCATAATGGGTTTAGTTCTCGCAGATTTTACCAGTAATGACATCACCACTGGATTAGCAATGCCACCAGCCCGCATGTTAGCAAAACAATAGAAGGATCCTGTCGCCTGGGAAAAAAAGAGAGTCCCAACATATCAAACTGACAAAACTTTGGCAAACAAATTCTATTAAAATGACATTACCTTTTCTAAAATGGTTTTCCCCAAATCTACAAATGCCCCACCACATGTGACAAGGGTGATTTTGTGTCTATTACCAGTAATCCCCACAAGAACATTTTCCATTTTTGAAATGGTGAAATCTACTAGTATCTCTAACTATAATTTCTCTATCTTTTATGTGAGATATAAGCTTGATAGCAACATGGCAGTCGCTGCAGACACGCAAGTTCTTCATTACCCTTATTGGAGAACCTAGTGGAATGTTCATTAGACCAAAAGCAATAGCCAACTTCTCACTGTGGTTGACCAGGCTACTTTCTTTCTCTTCACCGTTCATATCATGAAAAACGGTGGCAGTATCGGGCACATAACCATGCAACTTCATCTCCTCTATTAGTTCTTTCAAATACAAATCAATCTCCTCTGACTTTGGGTGAGATTTGTCACCCATAGAGAACTGGTGAACTTGATTCTTCACTTCCAACCAGCTTACCCCCGGTTCCTTCTTCATGTTCCTATCTCTCATTGTTTTCCTTAGCTTGGAGACATCCTTCCACCTCTCAGCAGTAGCATGAATGTTCGAAAGCAGCACATAAGTTGCTGAATCCTGAGGATTAATCCTAAGAATTTCCTCAGCAATCCTTGTTGCCATGTCTGCATTCTTGTGGATTTTACACGCAGATAACAAAGTTTTCCAGATCACAACATCTGCTTTTAGAGGCATTGATCTTATCATAGCCTCTGCTTCATCCAAACATCCTGACCTACCAAGTAGGTCAACCACGCAAGTGTAATGTTCCAGTCTAGGCTTCAATCCATATTTCTCTACCATCAACTCGAAAAATTCCATCCCTTTTTCCTTCAATCCGCAATGACTACAAGCATAAAGCAAGCTTAAGAAAGTAACATCATTTCCCTCCACACCTTCTTGCTCCATCCGCTCAAATAACTTAACAGCTTCCTCTACCCGCCCATGAAATCCATACGCAGTAATCATTGAGCTCCACAGAACAACATCCGGATGTTCACAGTCCAACAAAGCTTCCATAGAATCTTCCAAACACCCACACCTCGAATACATACTAATCAATGAACTAACCACTGCAACAACAGAATAAGCTCCAACTTTGATCGCTTCAGCATGAATCTGCTGACCCTGAAAAAGAGTTGCCAATTCAGCACAAGAACTAATTACACTCACCAATGTAATCCAATCAGGCCTGAGATCAGACATTTTCATCATATTATACAAATCCAAAACTCCCTCAGAGTGCCCATTTTGAGCATGACCTGCTATAAGTGTATTCCAAGCAACCACATTGCACATCGGCATGACTTTTATAACTTTCTCTCCTTCTCTCAAGCTACCACTTTTCATATACATATGAGCCAAAGAGTTCCCAACAACCAAATTGAATTCATACCCATATTTCAACACATAAGCATGAACCTGCCTTCCTGCATATAAAGCTTTCAAACCTGCACAACCTCTAAGTACACTACCTAAAGTGAACTCATCAGGCAAAAACCCCAACTCATGCATTTCTCGAAACAAAAACAACCCATGTTCATTAAATTCAAACTGAACCAATCCAGAAACCATCGCATTCCATGTAGCAACATTTCTCTCAGGCATTTCATCAAACAAATTAAGAGCATTATCCAAGTCACCATGTTGTACCCACCCATTAATCAAAATATTGTGAGACATAATGTTTCTCATGGGCATTGCATTAAACAATGCTATAGCTTCTTGTAATTTCCCCATTTTGGAATACATGTTTAGTAGGTGATTTCTCACAAATTTGTCTTTGAAGTCATATCCAGAAGTGATAACTAAAGAATGGAGCTGTTTCGCTATAAAAAGGGACTTTCTGGGTATGAATGATTGGATGAGATAAGAGAAGAGATGTTGGTCTGTCCATATTTCTGAATTGTATGTCTTAAAGGCTTCTTTTATGCGTCCCGTGGAGCAAAGGCTTTTGAATTCTTCTTGAATAGCAGAAAGAGAGGAGGTAGTTTTCTCCGTACTCGTCGAGAAAAAACTGTGGACTTGACAAAACCAGCTTTTTTCTCCAGCAATTCTTCTAACTGCTACAGCCATCAACAGACTCTAATCTAAGAAATTAAGGGTTTCGTTGGTGGAAGTTTTGGGGATGGAGTGTTTGAGAATGTGAAAGCATGGTGATTCTGGTGGCGGCCGAGTGGTGAAATTATCGAAGACATGGAGCTCAAGAGTAGAGAGGGAGGACCAACTTTTGGGTAAATTTCAATTTACCTCTGCATTTTTGTTGCCTTAATTTCACATACGACTTTTGGTTTGTTTCAATAGCCTCCAAATTTTACATTATTGTTCCAATTTCCCTTTTTCTTTCGTTTCTGTTTATTTGCATTGTTAATTAACGAAAAACAAAAGCTCCCGATCTTCTCAGCCCATTGGTGAAAATAACCCTCTTTCAATATTGGTGATGATGACCGAGTCACCAAAAAAAAGTTAAAACTATGAGATAAGAATAACATTGTTGATGATCCTGCGCCTACAGAGTATGAATAGATGCGAGTAAAAGATATCAAAGTTGAAGAGAGAGATATAATTGTTGTGGAAAAAGATACAGGACTAGTCTAAAATCTTCAAAAATACATCGAAAAACTACGGAAATTATCTGTTGCTGTGAAGGTTCTTGACAGAACTGTGAGACACAAAACTTTGTGTGTCCATTTAAATATAATCTGGAGTGCAACTAAACAATTTAAAGTCATTGATCTTGCTAATGATTTCTTTCTTGTTCAATTTGCAAACATGAAAGATTATGTTCATACATTGACTAATGGACTATGGGCCATAATGGGTCATTGTTTAACAGTTCAACCATGGAAACTAAAGTTTCAAGCAATGAGAGAGGCAAATTACAAGGGTTGTGGTTAAGGTTTGCTTTCCAGATCTTCCAATCTGTTGATGTCACCCTCGTATTCTGCGAACCATGAGAGATATAATTGGTAAGACAGTTCCTATTGATCTTAATACACAAACATTTCAAAGAGGTAAATTTGTACAATTAGGTGTCGATACAGATCTGCTTAAACCATATAAACATCTAGTTCAAATTGAAGATATCGTACAAAAAAAAACCTATGAAGGTCTTCTTCAGGTTTGCTATATATGTGGTCGCATATGACACAATAGTTTATTTATTATTATTATTTATTTTTTTTTTTTGGTCCTTTCAAGGAATCTAATAAACAAGCACCTACGAAGAGGATGTCTCTAATGGTAATCAAAATATCCATAGCAACCTGAATCAAGAATCGACGAAAGTCGCAGACCCTAGTTGCGGTTTAGGACACGGTGAATTTGGTCACTAGATGGCTAGATTCATGCCTAGCAAAATTCACGATGAAATTTAAGTAAGAAAGTTGTCAATCATCTTAGAAAGTCGCGCAGTAAGTTATTGTATTTAAGGGAAGATCTCGGTAAGTTAGTTGTTCTATCGAAGATTGAGGATTAAGAAAAAACTAAAAATAATATAAAATATGATTTATCAAATAGTGGGCGTGCTTCTTCGAAGAGATAGACCCTCTTAATGCCTAGAAAATCCCATACCGAGTCATCAATCTCCGACATCTTATTCCATGATGCATACTCCGAACGAGCCTTGCATCCGGGTTTGGTAAAATTTTGATGTCACGAGTCCGAGACCTCCTGCCTAATAAAATTAGGTCGTTTGAATAGTGAACCATGATTGTAAATGAAGTCGGAGCGGCGCTTCCTTGCTATAGCCTCCTAAGCATCTCTAGCATGCATCTCAATGGTCGGATCTCGGTAAAAATGTTTACGCATTAATAAAAAATTAATATTAACTACTTCATTTAATGTTAAATTAATATTTTAAACATAATAAAAAAAAATAAGTAATACATTACCTTAAACTCACTAAAGTATAATTGTTTAATGAACTCCAAGACGGACTTTCATGCCAACCCACCGACGTCCAACTACTCTTTGCAAGTCATGGTTATCCTTGTGGAATAATCTCTATTAGGTGGAATGAAATTGTCGAACATCATAAAAAAAGAAACAAAATACTCAATAATTATTGAAATGATATATTAAAATAAAAAAAATAATTACATCATCTTTAAAAAATTACATGTCGTCCATAAGCGATATAAACATGCCGCCGATTCGGAGTAGCTTTGAGAGCTCTCTAAAGTGGCATATTCATCGATGAATGTGGTACCCTTTATAGTCGATGTGGGAACCTCTCGCTGCGTGGGATCCTCTATGGCCAAAGCTGTTATGGATGTGTTGTTTTCATGGAAAGAAAAAAAAAAAAAAGAACATCCTAGTCTACTTGAGTAGTGGTACCCATGTACGGCTCCTAAAGTAGGAGATCCTTGCGGGCTATCATCGGACAAGGATGCACATCTACGACTATTAAAACATAATCCTATACCGATTGTGAGGGGTCAACTCAAACCACGTGTCATAATCCAACCTATTAATTACTGATCTAGTTACTAAAAAAATAAATTAAAGTTAAATTGATTAAATAAATTAAAGAAAATTCAAATACTAAAATCTAAATTAATAACAAACATGCATAAAATAAATTCAAGATTAAAATTACATTAATTAAAATAATTTAAAATCTAAGTTAAATAAGAAATAACAAACATGCATAAAATAAATTTAAATTTTAAACTAAGACATTTTTTTATTTATTAGCAATCAATTTTTTTATTTTTAGGTTGGATTGGAGTGAAACCAATCCAATATAACTCTTTTTTTTTTTTTTTTTGTTCGAGGCTAGACTAATTCTTGAAATTTTTTTATATTTTTTATATTTTTCGAGTCGGATCTGGTCGAGATTAGTCTAGTCCGGCCACTTATAGGTTGGGCTCCCAACCCAAGCTTTTTAAATGGATCGAGCCCATAAACACCTCCTTCTCTCTCTCTCTCTCTCTCTCTCTCAATTTTAGATCAAACACCAATTTTTGTTCTTCTTTTTTCTATCTCTCTCCCTCTTCTTCTTCTTCTTTGAAACTACCCCTCTATGAACGAACCGATAATGGTTCTTCAATGACCTTTTTCTTCTTCTCTTTCTTCTTTCTTCTTTTTTCTTCTTCTCTTCCTTCTCCTCTTCCCAAATTCTCTCTCTTTTCCTCTTTTTTTTTTTTTTGAATGCTGCTCATGGAGGAACAAACCGGAGGTTTCGGGTTCATTCTTTCATCCTCTCTTCCTTCTCCCTCCCAAACTTCTTCTTTCCTCTAAAATCAAAAACCTCCAAATCAATTTTTCAAAATTCTTTTCCGATTTGGCCGAACTATAAATTTTCAATTCTTCAAAATTTTCTTTCAATTGGCCTTAATTGGCTTGATTTCTCTTGAAATCAAGTCAATTCAAACCCCTTAGGATCCAATTTCTTGAAAATCACAATTTAATTTTTTTGAAAAAAAAATTCAAGAACCTTAGGTTTTAATTGAGGTTAATTCAGCTTCAATTTGGGGTTTAAATCCCAAATTGAAACTCCTATTGACTTTAATTGGACTTAATTTCTTTTTTCCTAAATCAATTCCAATTACGTTTCAAAAAAATCCCCAAATTCGAAATAAAACCTAAATTGACAATAAATCAAAATTAAAGAGAGATTAAGGAGGTTACCTAGTAGAATAGGTTGAGTATGATGGTTGATTGTTGTATCAAAAATAGGCAAATTTCTCCTCTTCTATTTTTTTATTTTTTTTTTTGCCATTTTTTTTTCAATTACTTGTTTTTCTTTGATTTTTTTTTCTTTCCAATTTTTTTCACTAATTCCCATCCTTTGTTGTGTTTATATTGTTGTTTTTTATCTTTTGAAATTGGTTCCCCATTGATGATGGTGAGGGATTTATTTGTAGGTCCGGTGAAGAGTCTGGTTTGAGGCTGCTTGGGGCAACGATAGGAGAGGAGGATACAAGGAGGAGATAGAAAGGTGAAAATTTTAAGAGAAAAGAAAAGTGGTCGAGTTTTAGGGAATTAGGATTAGTGATGGACGATATTCCATTGCTAATCCGTTGTTAAATTTCATCGTTAATCTATCGTTAAGTGTCCGTCGTTAATTTGAATTTTAAACGAGCACCCAAGTTTTTAAATTTTTTAGAAATTCAAGAATTCCATCGCTAATCTATCGTAATTTCATCATTGAAATTAGTGCAAACTTTTGTCGTATGCTTCAGCGATGGAATTTTTTTCGTCACTAATTTTCCATCATAAATTCATCATAAAGTCCATTGTAAATTGTTGTATTTTCAATTTTGTCACCATTCGATCTCTATTTAGTAGCTAATTAGTGATAAAATACAATCCTTTGCTAAATTATATCGCTAACTCGTTTATTTTCTTATAGTGATTAGTGTTTGTCTCATATCTATTAATCAATCACTAAAGTAATGAATATCATATAGATTTCTATATAATTCAATCAAGTTTAAATAATATGAATTAATAGAAAGATTTTTTTATTAATAAATATGCAATGACACAACATTCAAACCATCTAAACAAGTTGGACCTATACTATATATATATATATAGAGAGAGAGAGAGCTAGATGATGCCTATAGATTAGGTATTGAGACTTGTAAAATCCGAAAAGGTCGTGTGATTTGAAGTTTCTTGTTGATCGATCATAGAAAATTTATACTAGCTTTTTGAATAATGTTTCACAAACAACACCAATTGATGATTCTTAAAAACTTGAATAGTAATTAAAGGGAGTATGTGGCTTTTGATGGCCGATGATGGATGATGGAGATTAATTGCTCCTTGATGTTCCCAACGACATATATACTTAAAATAGATATCTCCTAGTGGGATGATGGATCCTTCGATGGTAAAGTGAGTGATTGGAGAGAATGAAATGGCCTAATCATGCCTTTTATTTATTTATTTATTTATTTATTTTTCTTTATGTGAGTAGTAGAGATCATAAATAGTATAAAATATTTTTAGATTTCATAAATAGAAACTTAGAATCCTTGGTGGTTTGAATTCTTATATAAGCGAGATTTTTATAAAGTTTCATGGTGAAGGGGGTGAAATAATTTTTTCTTTTGTTGTTGACTATTTTTTATGCCAATTTGTGAGAACTATATACTTGATATGGCTTGTTCTTTTATGGTGTTAATATTTTCGTGGTTTATATTGAGTGAACAAGAGCAATCTCGAAAAGATGTTTTCATTATGTGTGTGTGTGTGTGTGTGTGTGTGTGTGTGTGTGTGTGTGTCATTATAGTTGGTAGAGTTAATTTTTTTTTTTTTTTTGAATGATTATAATGGATCAAAGGAAAGTTGGTGTTTTGTTATGGTACCGACCAATCCTTTAGGAGATTAAGCATCTCGTTCCGGGCATAGCATGTTTGGGGTGTTTTTATTGACAAATATCATTTGGCCTCGGGAGTAGGATTGACACTTGTCCTCGGGACTCATGACCCTCTAAAAAAAAAGTTGATACTTGAAAGTGTAAGATATTTCTAATGTTGTCCTGGTTTCATTAAGTGGTTTAGGATAAGGAAATTTTAAGTGCTCGAACTTATCTAAATTTTATAATTAAGTGCTTGATTTTAACTTTGTTCAAATAGATGCCTAAGTTTTTTATTTATATAATAAAGTGTCTAAGTAGATGCATATTAGTTACATGCTAATATATATGTCGATTAAATGATGACATGGACATTACTAATAAACTAAAGAAAAATGCTCATTTATCGTAGCGTTACTATTTGAAACACTCGTACATGTTCTTATAATTCACTATTCACCCTCTCATAATTCACTCGTTACTTTCACTATTCATGGTTTTTTTTTACACTTTGGTCCTTTATTTTTTTGAAAGCATTTTTCGATCCACATGTTCATTTGCTCATCCATTTTGGTCCCTAGGTGAAGAGAGAAGGCTTAGAGGAAGAGAGAGACGAAAAGAGAGAGAGATCGCCAACTAAGCTCATTTAAGCCACTCTAACCGGCGAAAGTCTATTAGATTTGTTTATCTTTGAGAGATGAGTTTGTCTATGGTAGTTTCAAGCCATTAAACAATTAGATGAGATAAATCGGAGCCAAAATGGGAAAAAAAATTCGATTTGATTTTGTATTTTTCTTTATTTTTGTGTATTAAAATAATTTTTAAGGTTTTAAATGTGTTTATTGGCTTTATTTCGATCATTTAGAGGTGTTTAGGGAAAAAAACCATGTCGAAATTCAATTTCTAAGGGTCTAAAAGTTGACCCTCGATTTTTTGACGACCTTGGGTTCGTCGGAAGTTGCGGGTTTGTTTTTTTTTTTTCAACGAGCAAGCTCGGCACGCGGCCTCGCTCGCATAGGCCGACCACGCCCGGCCTCCTTCACATTTTTTTTTTCATGTGCAACCTAGTTGCATAAGCCAACCAGGCACCTCTCTCTCTCTCTCTCTCTCTCTCTCTCTCTCTCATATATATATATATATATATATATATATAAAAGAAGAAAAATAATAATTAAGAAAAAAGGTCTACCAAACAAAAAAAATATAAAATATAAAAAATAAATCGTTATTTTTAGCTTTTGGTAAAGTTATATATATAAATATATTACTTTTATTGTTTAAATTGAATTTTTTAATTATTTATTTCTTATTAAAATTCACATAAAAATAATTTTTTTTATTTAGTTTTATTTGTTAATAATTTTATTTTTTTAATATATGAATTTTGAAAAAAATTAGTATGTCATTGTTTTATTTTTTTTTAAATATATCATTATAATTTGTACAATATTTTCTTTTTATTTTTTAAATGAAAATTTTTTGTTGATTATTTTTATTATTTAAATTTTTCTACTTTAATTTGTCATTTTTTAAAAAACAATTCTCATCCATTTAATTTCAAATTACATTAAAAATTTTAAAATATTTTTTTCACCTTTGATTTCATATATTTTCATACATTCACACTATAAAACAAACTATTAATCTAAAATATTTTTTCTAAATAATTTTATATATTTTATCCTACTCGCAACGTAGCACGGACAAAAAACCTTGTTGACACCTAAATAATATTTTGGAGTTGACTTTGTTAATGAGATGTCATGTTAAAACGTAAATAGGAGAAAAATTCCATCCAAAACCTAATTTAAAATTAGAAGAAAAAATTATTATTAAACTTCTTTTGCTTAAATAATAATAATTTTCTAACTTTGAGTTAAGTTTTGAAGGAAATTTTTCATATCATTTACTTAATAATTTGACATTTTATTAATGACGTCAATCCTGAATGTTATCTTAGGTCTTGATGTTCATGTCATCATTTAAATGATACATCAATAGTTGACTAACAAATATCCACTTAGATACTTTAGTGCTTGAAATAAAAAAAATCGAACCCCTATTTGAACAAAATTAAAAATAAAACACTCAATTGTTAAAAAAAAAAAAACAATAGAGACTCAAAATAGCTTTATCCTAAAGAGGTATAGTGGGAATGGAATAAGAAGAAATAGTTTCACATGATCTAAAAGATTTCTTAATTCAGTTTCAGAATTTTCATGTAGGGGTGAGAAATTTTAGATTGACTTCGAGAAATGTGGTTTTGATGAAATTTTGAGAATTTTTTCAAGATAAATCAATAAAGAATCTATAAACGAAAAAGATAAAAGGAAGTTGAAATATTTGACGATCAGAGGAAAAAAATAAAACTGAACTAGACATGGAACTTGGTATGAACGGTTACCGTAACGGGATAACCAATCATTCATATAGTCACGACCAATCTTAATATTTGTAATTCGGCACCGTAGAATAACCCCTTCTTATATATATATGAAATTAAAATACGAGCATTTGAAGCATCTTTTTACCAATGGAAGTCACGGTTGAAAAAAACAAAAAAGGAACACTCAGGTGCGGAGGTGCCGTCGAGAGACAACAAGATTATACGGTTTTAATTAGTACCATAACTTGTATTCCCAACTTTTGAGCTCCTTTCAGGGATGACAAAAGAAAGCATTTCCCCGTGAATCAACAACCAGTAGGTATTGGCAGATGGCATTCTTTGTGTTCCATCAGACTACCATCCTTCTCATACTTGTAAACTGCTTATGTTTCTTTCAGTCATTTTCTTGGTTCTGGCTACTAATAAAATGTCAAGAGGTTGTAATTCAATGTTATTAATCTTTTGTAATAAAAAGTCACATATTTAAATCATGACAGATTGATTTTACTAGAGCCTTGAGTGCATGAGTTTTTTTTTTTTTAAAAAAAAAAACTAACAAAATTGCTTCTCCACCATGCATATCTATGCATTAATAAGAACTTAGTTTCAGACCATATTATAAAATTGCAGCAATGAATGAGAACAATATCAACTCGGCCGTCTAATTGATGGCTTGCCTCCACCAATAAGTGTGACAATAAAAGAGTTAAATGGTGTAATGTTATGGTCTCATTCTAATAAAAAATCACGAATTTAAATATTAAAAGACTTAAGACTTATTTTTTTTTATGAGTTTTGAGTGTGAGTTAAAAAGAAAACTAAAAAAAAAATTTGCTTCTCATATGCATTAATGAGAACCTATTTTCATACCATATTATAGAATTGCAGCAATAAATGAGAACAACATCAACTTTGCCGTCTAATTAATGGCTTGCCCCCACCAATGAGTGTGACAAAATAAACATTTTACTTCATTAATAATTATTGATAATTCTCACCCTTTTTTACACCTTATAACTATCATTGTATTTTATTTTTTAGATTTTTCTTTTTTCTTTTTTTCTTTCTTGTTGTCTCCACTCTCTTGGTCATCTAACTTAAAAAAATAAAAAATTAATTAAGATTGAAGTTCATCTCAACAAAAGAAATAAGCCAAGAGAGACGAAAACCATGACCCCAAAAGTAACACACAACATGTCCAAAGTCCTTTCATTTTTCAATTTCCTTTCCTTCCTATCCCTCTTCATTTCCAAAAACATCTCGTACCTTTTCCCTCCCTCCATTTCCCTCCTCCCGTTAATTCCTTTTTTACCCTCGAACCCGCTCTTCAAAATCTCCAAACTACCCTTCCCATCCAAGAAAACGCCATCCATATCCTCCACTTGCAAACTCGCTCCCCTCACGTGCATCTCCCCTCTGTCGCCTCCGCTTCCGCACGTGACAACAATTCCACACTGCACGAACTCCGATGCTGATCCTTTCTCTCCTGCCGCCAGCACTGTCGCAAACCGCGCGTGCACTTCGCTGCTCAGCCAATGCCTCTGTACCGACACCGGTTTGTGACTCGATAGGTTCACTGCTCGTAACCAGGTCGGGTCAATCAAAATCCAGCTCAAACTCAAATCACCAGCCAGATCGTTACATGTTTCCTCGGTTTCTGAATTCGGTATGGGAGTCGGACATGTCTCCTTCGGGTCAAGCATGTCAATTCTGAAGGGAGAGCACAAAAACCACGCGCTTGAGGTCTCTGTTTCAACAACTTTCGAGAAAATGAGCTTATTTTTGTAATAAATATCAACGGCTGAGATCAAATCTGATGGATGGTCGTGATTTCGAGGGGTATTTATTCTGGAGCCAGTGGTGAGGGGGAAGGATTCAGAGAAGAAAGAGTAAGGGCCGTTCGGGAAGCGGGAAATGATTTGGCGTACACGTAGCGTGTTAGTAGACGGCCAAGTGGAGTGGCATATGTCGGTCCATAAGTCTTGTTTGGATGCTAGTGAATTTAGTTCCGTGGAAGTGCATGCGGTGGAGACCAAGGTGGGTCCGTCCAGTCGGGTTAGGATGTGGGCTTGGAGGATGTCTGGGTGGATGGCGGAAATTGAGGTGGTGATCGTTGAGCGTTCCAAGGTGGTTGCTGCGTTGGTGGAGGAACATGGTGGTGGTGGTGGATGTGTGGAGAAAGACATGTATTGGGTTTTTTTGAAGTTCTCTGTAACTAGGAAATGATTTTGTTTAGGAGCCAGGAGAATAACGAGCGTACGAGTCCTTGGACGTGTTCGCTTTATATAGCACTTCTTTAGGAGATGTGGACTTCGTGGCTTGTTAAAGGCCCTTAGTATTATATTTATTAACGGAAATGGCATTCCTTATGAGTTGTTTGAACCCAGTCACAGATCCGGTCGCGGCCTTTGTTTGTGGCCTCCGTTTCCCTTCAAAACATGCTGCTGATACTATATTAGTATTATTATTCTTTTGATAAAGAAACAATATAAAGATTACTATTTCGTTTTTTTTATTTTCTTTGAAAACTGCTTGTTGCTGCTCTTGAGTAACTTAATAATGTGTGGAATATAAATAATTAATAAAATAGAGAGTTAATTATTCCTATAATTTAGTCTCTATAGTCTATCAAGCTTACCAAATAGTTCTTGTACTAACAATAAATAATTAAGTAGTCTGCTGACCACTATTCTTAATTCACAGTTTTTTTTTTTCTAATCAAATAGTTCTTGTACTCTCTAATTTTTATTTTCAAAATATATATAAATATAAAACTAAAAAAAGAATCAAATTAACAACGGATTATAAAAATAGTTTTTGAAACAAGAGTATAACTAGAAAGCTAATTAGTTTCACAAAATAGAGAGATTAAGTTATTAAATCTCAACAGAGTGGTTGAAATTGTATATGGCTTCAAATATTCATAAAAATAAAAAAACAACCAAAGAAATTGCGGTTCAAATAGTACGAACAAGAGAAACTAGAAAGAAATTGCGGTTCAAATAGTACGAACAAGTAGCTGCATGATATGTAAATTGTCACATTACTGTATTCTTGCATAGCTTTCAGATGCATGGCGTGGAAGGTCCCAAGAAGATCCTACAAGATCCCATCTAGCTGAAAGGGGTTATTATGATTATTAAATTGGTTTTTGACTTACAGCCAACTTCATGTTCGTCCTTTGCTCATGGTATATAGTTTAATTCCTTACTACACATTAATATAAAGTGCCATGATTTGTTTAATGGTTTATCGTGACACTCACATAATGTATATAAATTGTCAGAATATCAACATTTATCCTTTTGTCGGCATTAAATTACTAATTTATAAACATCATTATCTAGAGCTGATCCATGACGTACGCCCTTTGTGGAAAATCAGCAATTTTTATTTATTTATTCATAGAAGGTGAAATATTTTTAATTTAATTTTCTATATATATATCTATTTGTGGTCCATCTATGAATTGAGATTAACTCTATTATTTTTTTTTACATTAGATCAGTATTAAATTGATTCTTAAAACAAAACTTTTTAATTACATCAATAAGTTATATTTAGTAAATTGGATTTTTTAAAACGTAAACAAAGCATATACACGACCACATCATTGTCACTGGGTCTGATCATATTAGTCAGTGTCCAGCAGTTTGGTGCCGGCTACTATCAAATTGCCTTGTAAATTGGATTTTTATTGGCAGCATTTTTCTAGCTGCTTCGTCATTTATTACTTCGTATATGATTATCATCTGGTGTCCCTATCAGTATGCACCCTTGTCTCTACGCGTGGAATATCATAGACACTTGTTGCTTAAAAAGACGATTACTAATGGGATCATATCTTTTTTATTTTTGATGAAAAATCATGTTTTTACGTCAAGAATCATATTGTGAACTTTATTCTTGTGGTCTGCGTAGGCTGGAGAGAAACGGATCAGATGAAGAGAAAAAGCAATCTGTCCAATGGACCCGTGAGTAATCATTGGCTCTTCTTGACATTATTAATTCATAAAGGAAGATATGTAAGACCAATTCTTTATGGATCACCATGAATTTGGCTTCCCGTTAATACCTGCCATTTAAGTACTATCAGCTGACAATTTTATTGATCAAGTAACATTACTGCTAATTGTTCTAAAATACTACAAAAACTAGACTGGAAAATGGTGTTCGGAGGGCAGGAGATAGTCCAATTGATAACGAAGAATATTGTTTCATCTTGAGATCTTATATTCTGAGTTCTAAGGTCGAATCTGACTTTAGAATCCCTCTCCAAGAGATGGTCTAATTGATAATTTTATTCACCTTGAGACCTTTATTTTGAATTTTGCCAATCTTTTCAGATTTGACTTATGTATCTCCAACTAATCATACTTGCGGATGTACTTTTAATTTTGATTTTAACATAGGTGAACAGGAAAAAAAAAAAAAAAGGGTATAGGACAACAAGAATTGTAGCTCACATGACTTTAGTTCATAGTTTTGAGAGTTGAGAGCTAGTTGTTGAGGTATTGATCTCAATTAGTACGAGTTTCAGAGTTGCAGAGCAAAGATAGATAGATACATGTTAAATGCAGTTGACACGTACATCAAACCATTTTTTAACGGGATTAACAGTAAGAAATATCTTTTTATTCTTCACATTTTCTTAATGTGATCATTTTTATTCATTCAATCTCTTTACTTTTCAATTTTTCTTAATATATCTCATTCGATGAATTTTTGATTAATTTTTTCGATTAAAATTGATATCTAATAACTTTGAAAAACCTCACATGATCTGTCATTATAACTTAAAGGCTGCAAAGTAAATGTTATATAGTGGTAAGCATCCATAAGACAGGTTTCATCTATATCATATATCGTTTTCTCACATTAATAATAAAAATAATAATTGTGCCGGTTAGAGATGACAATTTGACTCGTCCCAACGGGATCTCATCTTGCCTCATCCTGCTTGGGGTAGGGATGATACACGAAATATCACTCCGAATAGGGCACGTGGCAAGAATGGGGTGACATTTTCTAGAACGGATCACCATCCTGTCCCTTTATCTTTAGAAATGATAATTTGACGTGATCTTGCCTCATCCTGTTTAGGACGAGGATGGTACACAAAATATCACCCTGAGCATGATGCGAGGTGAGGATGAGACGACATTTTCTAGGACGGGATGGGGGCGGTGATGGTACCATCCCTGGTGCTTGTTGAGTGTGCAATGATGGTTTCATAGAAGGCTAAGTGAGGAAGATTGATTTGAGATGAGAAATAGACAAAAACAAACGTATAAAGAGGAATATTTCATGCATTTATTATGAGGTTTAAGAAAAAAAAATTACAAGAAAATTAAAAAAGAAAAAAAATTATTTTGACTCATATTGAATTGTTTTGATTGAAATCTCAATTTTTTTTTATATATATAATCTTTCTCATTTGTCATGTTTTTAAGACTACATATATTATGGTAGCTCATAACTAATGATATTATAATATAAAAATAAAAAATAAGAATCAATAAAAAATATATATATATATATATTATTTTAATTAAAATAATTCGAGGAGTAAAAGGACCACATAATGAATGAAACCGATTTGCAACTTGCATAGCAAGGCCTGGTTTTGGCTTTTGCTGTATTTCAAATTGGCGGAGAAACGTACGGAACTCATGCACTCATCCTTAGTCATTAGTTAAATCTCGAACGCGGAACTGGAGCGAGTTACTTGCAAGGATACGGAAATATATGAACTCTAGCAAGGATATAACTGAATTCGGTTCATAATAAATGGTTTTTTTAGAGATAATTCCAATCATTACTAAATAGTTAAATTTAGCAGCACCGGATAAAATTTAAGATGGGCATTGCAAGATAAAATCTTTTATTTCTCATCAATCTCATCAATCATTACTAAATAATAAGTATTTACTATACTTACTTTAATATTATTTTTATTCTATAAAATCTTTTATTTCTCATCAATCTTTTTATATTTTTCATATTTTTATCTTTTTTTTAATTTCTTAAAATAAAAAATCAATATAAATTAAAAAGGAGCAAAAGGAACTAATTACAAATAAATTTCAAAGCATGGAGACTAAATGATTGATTTTTGAAATAAGAGGGATTAGTTAATTTGTTTTCGAAATGAGAACGACTGACTTATAATTTACTCTTGAAATATGAATGATAGTAAGATCTTTTCAAAAAAAAGAAAAATTCTAAAAAATTGTACTTGTGTGTATTTATTCCAATTATTGCAATGTAAATCTTTTGTTTTCTTATTACGTTTAGAATTTCAAAGGTTACATTTGAATTAAAAATTATATTTTTTTTAAAAAAAAAAAGAGAGAGAGAAAACAATGTCTAAGTAGGTGGGATGAAAGAATTTGTGCATATTTTCAAGCATGTGAAAATTAATTAATTTTAATTTGTTTATTTCATACGCTTGCATGCCACTTACATAAATTCGAGAAAAACTTTTAGAGAACATTTGATACAGAGATGGTTGAAATTTATATGGAAAATTCCTTCGAAATATAAAGCACTTTTGTGTTTGGTAAGCCAAGACCAAGGGTGATTATTCATTTTTTGGTTCAATTTTGACATTTTGATTCGGTTTTTAGTTAATCAAACCCATAAAACAACTAAATCCAAGCCAAATTACTAATAGATTTTTAAAATTTTTAAAACTGAAATTTTGGTTGTCGGATTTAAATTATTTTTAAAAAAATTAAATAATATAAATAGAACAAAAAAAAATTATGTCATGAACTATAGAGTCCTTTCGTTTGTCCAAATAGTATAAATTAGCTTATATAAAAAAAATAATAGATATTTATTTAAATAAATCTTTAAGACATTTTTATTGGTTTGGAAATGGCTTAGAATGCAAGTTTTCATTAGGTATTAATCAAAACCGATTCGAAACTAGCTATTCAATTATTATCATCACACAAAGTTTGTAATGAAGATTATAACCAGCTGATTTACAATATCATTGGCGAGTTTCTTTAATGGTCATGACAGGTTCATATTTTTTATATTTTCAAAGAAGCCAATTTTATTCCAAATTGACTCGCATCTTATCTCTACTTCATTTCTTTAAGGTGTCGTTTGATTATCATGAATGAAATGTTTAGAATGAGAATGCAAAAATCGAATGACATTTGTATTCTCATACCGTGTTTGGAATACTAATGAAGAATCGGAATGCAATTTAAATTTTTTAATATCCGATTTTTTTATACAAACGTAAATAACGATTAAAAAATAATTTTATCAAACTATAATGGTTGGAAAAATAATAAAGGTGCTTATGGCGGTGGTGGTTGTGATAGTGATAGCGGCGATGGTTCTAGTAGTTGTGGTGGTGGTAGTGGTAGAAGTAGTTAATAGATAATAATAAATAAACAAATTATATTATTATTTTAAAAAAATCATTCTCATTTCTTATTTTTATTCCTACATTTTAGATGAGAATGAAGTTGTGTGTAATTTTTATTCTCATTCCTATATTTTTTTATAACCAAACGGTTATAATATGAAAATAAAACTTTTATTCTCATTTCTATCACTATGTTTTTAATTACCAAACAACATCTAAGAATTTCTTATTTTTAGATTGTACTTATAGGTTGTATTAAGTTTCTCGTTAAAGATATTTGTCGAGTCATGATTCCTACACTTTGTAACTTTTGCTAGTTTCATAGAGCTCTGTCTCTCCCCTTAAGAAAAAATTTTTATGTACAACACAAATTATCCTCCTCTTTTGGAACCTATGAACTCTTTATCAGATCCTTTGCAACTTCTTTGCATCCTGGAAAGACCAAAAAGGGAACAAATCAATACCGGCTTCCCTTTAATTATTCCATAAGCGTCGTTTTGCCAATATCAGGACTCGAAAGTCAAGTGTTGCTTTCGGAGATTATGAGTCATGTTACTACCCGGGTGGCAGGCTCTTACAGTCGTGCCAGTTATTGTAACTTTGGGTCAAGCTAACAAGTGTAGCTTTGGAGATATTTTATGGTGCTCAAGAGTGAGTACCTATAATTTCCATTTACGAGGTGGAAAAAAAATTAAATCGGAAGGAGAAAATTATATAAAAAAAATTGAGATTAAGTGAATATATTTTTATTATTAAATACGGATTCGAATGTAATTTTTTTTTCTTTTTTCAAAATAAACTTATAAAATAAGTATTTATGATTACTATTTAAGTATTTAAAATTTTTTCTCTTACCTTTAGACTAGCAAGTGTTCAAAATGCATTCGATAATAAGCATTTAAAAGGGATTAATTACTATCACTAACTTAGTAAAGAAAATATTGTAATTATTGCTCGTTTAAAAGTTAAATTAAAAGTTTGCTAAATCTCAATACTCTTAGTAATATTTGCTTTTGACTTTTATTGATAACTCCTCCGATTATTTTTTATTTTGAACTTATTTTCGTCAACAATAAAAAGTAAAATGTAGTAAAAAAATATAATTAAAAGTCTATCTTATTAACAATAAAATTCAATTTTTTATTTAAACAATATAATGTGAATTTTTCTTTTTTTAATATTTTTTTAGAGTATGGCTGGAGTATAATTTTTTTCAAAAAATAATTTATTTTAATCTTTTTCTTTTTTATATTTGGAGCATAGAAAAAAAATCTCTAAGGAGTTTTTAGAACATTTTGATTCAATGTGAATACTATTAAGGATGTATTTATAATTAAAAAAAAAACATTAACAACATAATTTTCAAATAGTGTGTAGTTTAATTATACATAAATAAATTTTGGTTTAATGATAATTTTTGCTCCCATTTTGTTGCGATGTGATAATTTCGGATTCTTAGTATGAAATTGTATAATTTGAACCTCAAAGTATTGGCTTTTGGGCAAAATTTATCAAAATTTTCTAATTATTATTCTATGTAATGATCAACTAGCTTGACTCGTTATTGTTACCGTTTAATTTTTAAAAAAAAA